CTACTTCTTCTGGGGATGATAGAGTAGAAATACTTTTCCTAATTGCTTCTGCTGAGTACAAAATTCCTGGGCATTTTATATAAGATAAATATAAGGAGACTCTGAAAGGGAATAAGAGAAATGGGTTCCAGATCTCAGGACCCAGGGGCTGACAGAGTAGTGAGTTGCCTGGGCTTGCTTTTCCCCCCCTGTATATCAGACGGGGTGTGGGGAAGCCACGTACCTGAAACACAAAAGGCAAAAACAGATGCCTGCTCTCTCTGGCCAGAGGGACAGGAAAGGGCAGCCTTGCAGGACAGAAGCCTGTGAGACACTAACTGCTCTTTTACAGCCAAGTATCCCAGGAAAAACTGTGGCCTCTCAGCCCCCACTTAGACCAGTAAGAGCCGAGTGGGGAGCCTAGACTCTCACCACAGTCTAGCGGTAAGGAGATGTCAGTAGACGATATCGGTAGCAATGAGATGCTCCTACCCCTTCCAGCCACAGATGGAGGCCCAGTGGGGAGCTGGATATCCCACTTCCACCTGCTAGTAATGAGGAGCCCCCCTCATTTTGAGTGTCAGTGGAGGTTGAATAGGGAACCTGGACTTCTCCCCCCATTGACACTAACAAGGCATGCACTCTCCCTTCCCCTGATGCATCAGCATTATAAAAGGCATCTAAAACAGAACATTTAAATAAAACCCAGGTTTTATAACATAACACAATACCCAGTTTTTTAAAAAAAAATCACTCATCACACCAAGAACCAGGAAGCTCTCAAACTGAATGAAAAAAGGCAGTCCATTGATGCCAACACTGAGATGATAACAACTGTTAGACTTATTTGGTAAAGATTTAGTGTGGCTATTATAAAAAGGCTTCAACAAGCACTTACAACTCTATGTCAAACAAGCGAAAAAATTGAAAAGCTCAGCAAGGACATAGACTGTCTCAGCAAAGAAATAGAGGATATTAAGAAGCACCAAATGAAGGTTTTAGAACTGAAAAATGCACTAACTCAAATAAAAACTCAGGGGATGAGTTCCATAGCAGAATGGAAGGACAGAGAAAAGAATCCGTGACCTGGAAGAAAAGAGAATAAAAATTGCCCAATCTGCATAACAGAGCAAGTAGACTGAAAAACAAAGAAACAAGCGAAGTCTCAGGGACTTACAGGACAATAACAAAACATCTAACATTCATGTCACAGGGGACCCAGAGGAGAGGAAAAAGAGGGCAGGGCTGAAAACTCCCAAAGAAATAATGGCTGAAAACTTCCACATTTGGCAAAAGACATAAACATACAGAATCAAGAAGCTGAGCTAAACCCAAACAGGATAAAACCGCTACCTACCCACTGCCACTAATAAATAAATAGTCCACACCAAGCTACATCTTAGGTAGCAGGGGAACAAGGAAAAAAGGAATCTTTGAATTATAGGAAGAAAGAACATGGTATAAAAAAATATATAGGTATAACAACCATAGACGTTTTGCAAAAAAACACAAACTTCCAAAACTCAACCAAGATGAAATGGATAACCTGAGTGGCCCTGAAACCATTAAAGAAATCAAGTTTATAGTTTAAAAGCCCTTGGAAAAGAAATCTCCAGGCCCTGGTGGTTTTACTGGAGAATTTTAGCAAACATTTAGAGAAGAATTAACACCAATTATATGCAATCTCTTCCAGAAAGTATGAGGAGGGAACACTCTCCTATTCATTTTATTTTTTTATTTTATTATTTTTTTCCAGTTCATTTTACAAAGCCAGTGTTGCTCTAAAAATCAGAGAAAGGTGATTCCCTCCCCCCCCCAAAAAAAGCTGCAGATCAATATCCCTTGTGAATATAGATACAAAACTATAGGGGCATGTGGCAGGTTCATTCAGTAGAGCATGCGACTGTTGATCTTGGGGTTATAAGTTGGAGCCTCATGTTGGGTGTAGAGATTACTCAGAATCTTAAAAAATTTAAAAAAAAATCATACAACAGAATAGTAGCAAATAGAGTTTAGCAATATATGAAAATAATTCTTCATCATGACCAAGCAGAGTTTATTCCATGAATGCAAGGCTGGCACACTATTGGAAAATCAGTGAAAACCACCTACTACCTTAACAGGCTAAAAAAGGAAAATCATGATCATATTAATTGGTACAGAAAAAGCATCTGACCAAATTCAACAGGCATCCATGATAAGAACTCAGAAAAGGGTAACTAGAGAAGAACTTCTTCAATTTGATCCAGAGTAGTATGGCAAAAAATAAAATCAGTCGATCAATCAATCATATATGGCAAAGAAACTACGGTAGGGAAAGTGATTTTTTGAAAAAGAAGAAAAATGTGGGAGGAGTCAGTGTGCCTGAGTTCAGGACTCATCAAGGCATACCAATTAAGACCATGTGATATTGGTAGAAAGATAGACACAAGGATCAATGGAACAGAATCCAGAACTGTTTGCAGCTGTGCAAACTGATCATTAGTAGAGGTGCAAAAGCTCTTTGGGGGGGGGCGGGGAAGAGAGCCTTTTCCATGCATGGTTCCAGAGCAATTGGGCCAAGGAAAAAAAAAAAAAAGAAAAAGGAAAAGAAACAGTAAGTTTCACACCTTTTAGAAAAACTCACCCAAAGTGGGCCATATCTTACTATAAATTTCCAGAAAATCAACAACAACATAGAAGAGATTCTTTGGGATCTAGGACTAGGCCAAGAGTTCTTTGATTTGACACCAAAAGCATGATCCCTAAAGGGAAAAATACGGTAAGTCGGTCTTCACCAAAATTAAGAACATAAAAAATATCATGAAGCATGGTCTGTCCCTCAGTGTGCCCCAAAGCATGGCCTGGCAGAGGAGGATTGGACTGCTTTCTCAGAGTGAAGGTGTATTACTGGGCCACCTTGCTCTCTTGCAAGACAAGAGACCTCAGCCTCCACCCCTCAGGCCACCTGGACACCACCCCAAATTGAACTCAAAATGCTACTGAGGCAACAGTTGAATTTCACTCTCTAAAACTTTTTAAAGCAATTTAAAACTCTGTGTAGTTAAGAGGATGAAAAGACAAGCTTAAGACTGGGAGAAAATATTTGAGAGCCACCTTATCCAAAGAAGAACTAGTATCTAGAATATATAAGGAATGCTCAAAACTCAGTAAGTAAAAAAAATCCAATTAGAAGATAGGCAAAAGATTCCAACAGGCATTTCCTGGAAGAGGGTATACAAATGGCAAAGAAGCACATGAAAAGATGTTCAGTGTTATTGGCCATGAGAAAAATACAAATTAAAACCACTACACATCTGGGGCTCCTGGGTGGCTCTGTCAGTTAAATGGCTGCCTTTGGCTCAGGTCATGATCCTGGGATCTTGCGATCAAACCCCACATAGGGTTCCCTGCTGATCGGGGAGCCTGCTTCTCCCTCTCCCTCTGCTACTTCCCCTGCTTGTTGCTCTCTCTCTGTTAAATAAATAAAATCTTCAAAAAAAAAAAATTTTTTTTTAAATAAATCACTACACATCTATCAGAATGGCTAAAATAGAAAGTAGGGATAATACGAAATGCTGGCAAAGATGCAGAGAAAGCAGATCCAGATCATTCATCCATTGCTGGTGGGAATGCAGCTACTTGAGAACACAGTTGGGCAGTTTCTTTGAAAGAACTAAATGGGGGCACCTGGGTGGCTCAGTGAGTTAAAGCCTCTGCCTTCAGCTCAGATCATGATCCCAGGGTCCTGGGATTGAGCCCCGAACCCAGCTCTCTGCTCAGCGGGGAGCCTGCTTCCCTTCCTCTCTCTCTGCCTGCCTCTCTGCCTGCTTGTGATCTCTGTTTGTCAAATAAATAAAATCTTAAAAAAAAAAATACCAGAACTAAACGTGCAACTACCATGCCACCCAGCAGTTGTACCCCCTGGCATTTATCCCAGAGGAATGAAATCTTGGGGTCAGACACGGCCCTGTATACTAACGTTTATAGCAGCTTTATCAGTAATAGACAACTGGAAACAATCCAAATGTCCTTCATTGGGTGAATGGTTGAACACATGGTGTTACATTCGTATCATGGAATATGCAATAAAAGATAAACTATTGCTAGAGGCACCCATCTGGGTGAACCCTCCAAAAGATTATACTTAGTGGAAAAAGCCAACTGAGAAGGTTGCATAATGGGATTCCAGTTATGTAACATTCTAGAAGTGATAAAATTGTGGAGATAGAGAATGGATTAGGAGTTATTGGGGTAAGGAGAGGGTAGGGTGGGGAGGGAATGTGTATGGCTATAGGGTAGCATGAGGGATCCCTGTGGTGATGGAAATGTGCTGTGTCCTGACGGTGTCAAGGCCGGGTTCCTTGGGATACTGTACTAGGGTTTTTGTACAAGGTAACCTTGGGGAAGTGGATAAAGGGTATTATTTCTTTTACCTGCATGTGAGTATCTCAAAATAATTTGCTCAGTCAGCTCAAAATGAATAGTTTAATTTTAAAATATTGATCCAAGGCCATTTTTAAGCTTTTCAAGTGATAGAAAATGGTCTTTAATGAAAAACAAGCCCTTCTCCCACACCTCATCCCTCCTTCCCCTGTGTTACCTCCCTTGGGGCAAACCCCACTGATGATTACTGTATCATTTTTCACAGTTTTGTAAACTTCTGACTGAAGTGCTCTGAATATTCCAGAATCCGATATCGCTTAAATAACAAGGACAGGAGTGCCAGGGTGGCTTAGTTGGTTAAGCACCTGACTCTTGATCTCAGCTCAGGTCTTGGTCTCAAGGTCGTGAGTTCAAGACCTGCACTGGGCTCTGTACTGGGTGTGGAGCCTACTTAAAAAAATGAAATTAAATTAAATAACAAGGACAAATTTAGGGCTCTCGACCTGTTCGATAATCCTTGTCATAGGTGTCCCTGTCTCCCACATGGCAGCTGCAGGACTGGGGCCCTTCTCTCAGTTGCCTGAGGGAAACATGGTGAGTAATGGTCTTTGTCAAGGCCCTGTGCAGCTTGTAATGTGCTTGTGTCAACCTGGCAGGAATCGAGCCTACAGGAAACATGGTGAAGCAGCCAGCCAAGTTCACTGTGGACACCATCAGTGCTGGGCAAGGAGACGTGATGGTGTTTGTTGAGGACCCAGAAGGGAACAAAGAAGAGGTACGTTGGAAGATGCTGCCATTCCATGGAGCTCTGGAGGCTTGTGGTAGGCCCGGGGTCTGTGCTTTCCATTTTCCTCATTAAAGCTCACAATAAAAATTGTTTTTTACCAGGAGGATACTGAGGCTTAGCGTAGTCAAAGTAATTGCCCAAGGACTGTGCCTTGAAAGGTAATAGAAATTGATACCCAAGGACACAGTGTTTTGGGTTTTTTTTAACAATGTTTAATAAAATAAAGGATTCTTTGGCTTTAGCGAAGGCCTTGTGAATTGAGGTTTTAGATGCTGATGACCGAAATAACAATAACAAAACTGATGCTCTCCTCTCTTCCCAGGCTGACTACACTTGGTTCCTCCCTCAGGGCCTTTGCACATGCATTCCTCCTTATCTTCTTAAGACTTATTCCTACTGCCTAGTACCATCTGAAATTCTATTTACTGGAATGTGGTCTGTTTCTCCCACTGGGGCAGGGATTATGCCTGATTTGTTTTATTTTTGGTTCCTGACACCAGGCCTGGTCTTTCATAAGCTCTTCATAATTATTGAGCCACTAAAGGTTGAAGTGACTTGCTTTATGGTCCTTCTCATATGCTGATTTCCAGCCCTAAGACAGTGGGGAGTTGTGACGTGGTTATACATTTGTGCCATGTTACTTTGTTTCTGTGACTTTCAGCTGCTGCTTTCCTGGGGCATCCTTCAGCAGCAATGGGGCAGGAGAGAGCCAGGACAGTGCCCGACCCGGCACCTCACCACAGGGCCTTGGCTGGTACAGCGTACCTTTACTCACACCCAGCACCTTCTCTAACTATTGTTCATTTTCTGTCCTAGGCACAAGTGACCCCGGATAGTGACAAGAACAAGACATATTCTGTGGAGTATCTGCCCAAGGTCACCGGGTTGCACAAAGTAAGATGAGGTGTCATGGCCGTTGCTTGGATTGCTCTTCTAGGCTTGCATCAGTGTGTGTGTGAGAGGGTATCTTAGGAAGGTTGAATGCTGCTCAGTTCTTTGCAGTGTAAGGTGGTTTTCAACTCCCATCTGGGTAACAAATGGTTGTAGCTACATGCCTGGACCATAGATGCTATGGGTTCTTTGTCTTCAGTGCTTCCTTGAGTATCCCCCTGTGGGGTGCTCTGGAGGGTCTCTCCATATTGAAGCTTGAGAGCCAGCTGAGTATAGTCCAATGGCCCAGTCATGCACCTGGAGGAATGATGGGGGTCTAACCCAGGTCCCTTGTCTCAGCAACATTTTGAGTTCTGTTGAGTATTGTCTAGTTGGCCTATAGGACAGGGGCCCAGGGAGTCTTGCAAGAGAGTAGGGTGATCCAGGAGTGTAGCTTTCCCTGAAAGAAAGTCTTTAACAGCACACATAGGTCAATCCCTGTGTACCATGCCAATATTTTGAGACCTAGATCATCATACCTACTACTACCTTGGCCTTTAGTGAAGTCACCTGGAATCCTGACTATCAGTTTTTCTTATACCCTTAGGACATCAGGAATTTGGGGAAAAAAAATCCTAAAGGGAACATGTATGATGTGATTATGTTGTTCAATTCATATGAAATCCAACTCCATACCCCTTAAAATTTAAAAGATGAGAACTGACTCAAATTTTAAATGAAAATCTATACTGTTTCTCACATGAGTGATCTTGGTCCCTTGAAAAACATTTTGACTATAAGTTTGAAATCCTGGAACTGTGCCTTATGTTCGGGGTGGGGGGGGAGGGCGTGGCCCCTTCCGCAACTGTCTTAAAGGATCCAATGTCTACCGGTTCAGTTAGAAGTCTTGGTTCGCCTCCTGTTAACAGAGGCCACCCGTATCCAATGTAAGCATTTTTAGTTCAGTAAAAGACATGATGTCCCAAGGCCCAGACGTGTGGTGGATGGAGCCAGGTGGGGATCCCACTCCGGCTAACTAGGGCTCTGTTTCCAGCCACCTTTGTGTGGATAGTTAGGAGGATGGAAGAGGAGATTGTTAGTGCATGTGGCTTGACGTGGGTTCTCCCTGGGCAGGGAGCAGTGATTATACTGCATCTGTCTGTCAACTTGTAGGTTACAGTCCTCTTTGCAGGACAGCACATCTCCAAGAGCCCATTTGAAGTGAATGTCGACAAGGCACAGGGAGATGCCAGTAAAGTCACTGCAAAAGGCCCAGGCTTGGAAGCTGCCGGAAACATCGCCAATAAGCCCACCTACTTCGATATCTACACAGCAGGTATTGTGGGTCAGGCTTTCTTCCAGAGCCTGAGATAATCCTCGGGGACCCCAAGGCTTGGGATGCCTGACCTTTTATCTTTTAAATCAAATCACTGCCAACAAACATGCCCTTTTTCAAGTGTATTGGTTATTTATAGATTTTCAAAACCAGGTTATCTTTTTTTTTTTTTTTTAGATTTTTTTAAAAAAAGATTTTATTTATTTATTTGACAGAGCAAAAGCAGAGGGAGCGGCAGGCAGAGGGACAGGAAGAAGCAGGTTGCCTGCTGAGCAGAGAGTCCAACGTGGGGTTCGATCCCAGGACCCTTGGGATCATAACCTGAGCCCAAGGCAGATGCTTAACTGACTAAGCGACCCAAGTGCTCCCCCCAAACCAGCTTTTCTTTAAGATCTTAACACTCAAGCTTAGGTTTGATTATTAATAATCCATCAATTTCTGTACACATTTCTGCCCTAGCTAAATAACTGTTCCAAAGAAACTTAAGTTTTAAGAATCCTCTACTAAGGGCACCTGGGAGGCTTATTTGATTAAGCATCTGCCTTTGGCTCAGGTCATGATCCCAGAGTCCTGGGATCAAGCCCCACCTCAGGCTCCTTGCTCAGCTGGGAGTCATCTGCTTCTACCTCTCTCTCTAATAAATAAATAAAATTTTTAAAACAATCTCTACTAGACCAAATTCTATACTAGGTTTGGGGGGTGAGGAGAAAAATGATAGAACAGTTTACATATGTATATGTGTATGTGTATATATACACATACACATATATATACACATATATTTTTTTTAATGATACATTTCATGAAATGTCACCTTTCTTTTCAATGTAGGAAATTTTAAAAATAGAGAATGGGGGGAAAAGGAAAGTTTATGACCCTCCTGGCCAAACCAGAAAACAGTTGTTAGCATCTCAGTGTGGACCTTCTAAGTGCCTGTCTCCTCCCTTCTGCACTTTTCACCTGTGCTCATCTGCAGTGAGTGTTCTGAGAAGGTGACTGGGGCTCCTGGAGTGCTTGTTTTATTCCAGGTGCTGGTGTGGGGGACATTGGTGTTGAGGTGGAGGATCCCCAGGGGAAGAACACTGTGGAATTGCTGGTGGAAGACAAAGGAAACCAGGTGTATCGGTGTGTGTACAAACCAGTGCAGCCCGGCCCGCACGTGGTCAAGGTCTCCTTCGCGGGGGACACCATTCCCAAGAGTCCCTTCGTCGTGCAGGTCGGGGAAGGTGAGTGCTGGGGTGGCCAGCTATCCCTGCTTCTGGCCTTGAGGCTGACCGTGCTCACAGCTGAGCTCTGAGGCCAGGAGAAGAGTGGGGGCCATGCTGGGATTGCACCTGTCCCCTTTCTGCCAGGGCCCCTGCAGTGGGAAGTGGCTTGCTTTGTCCTCAAGGTATTCATACTGATATCTTCCTGTGAGCTGAGCAATGACCCAAGTGCTTCACTTGTATTAACTGATTGAATCCTCCCCAAAGCACTCATACAGGAGAGTTGTCCTCACTGAGAGCTGCAGGACTGAGGCTGTGTAGGCCATTGGTCCCTGTGGCTGAAGTCAGCAGCTGTGGGATGGCCCCATGGCCCCCACTGCTTGGCCTTTACTGGCTGCCGTGTGCTCAGCACCATGACATGTAACCATCACCCCAGCCAGCATGTTCCAGGCGCTGGGGTCCTCTCTAGTTTGCAGGTGGATACACCAAGGCTAAGATGACATTACGGCATCAATGAGTACAGACTAGACATCTGTACAAGGAGAACCCAGGTCTCTGTCAACCCCTTAACCCTGCTGCTAAACCCCTTCTGCAGCCAGAGCATGCATTTTTTCTCTAATGTTAGACTCCTTTTCCTTCTGACTTGGTTGTTCTTTTTGTTTTGTTTTCCAACTCTGCTGCCTTTTCTAACCAGTACTTGCCTTTCCCTGTTCTGTCCTCTGCCTCTGCGTCTGTAGAGCTGGCTTCCTCTTCTGAATCCTGCCTCTGGGTCAGCCTGGACCCCGAAGCTGTTGGCTTCCTAACTGAGAGCACTGGGCCAGAGGCACCTCGCTGGGTAAGGGCTGGTTGAGTGGGACTTTCCTCCCAGTTCCCATGCTTCCCGCACACGTCACCTTGGGCCTGTGCTCTTGGTGACCTCAGGACATGACAGTATACACGTCAGCATCACTTGGCCAACTGGACTCCAAGCCCACTCATTACATTGAAACTTGTCTAAAACATCTCAAGGTGGTAGAGAATTCAGTGGTTTCCTTCAGCTCTATTTCATGTTTATATGAACTGAGCAGTTACCCTTTTGATGTTGAGACTAATACCCATGTTCAGAATTTCCATGAGTGGTTGTTTTTTTTAAGGCACATTAAAACCCTTCACGGGAAGTCCTGTCATCCTGTTGTGACTTATTTCTGGTATGATCAACTTTTCTCCTTTTGACAAAGAAAAAAAAAAAATAAAACCAACATATTTATAAACAAAACTCTCTTTGACATAACGCAAGAAAGCATTTTTTTAACAGCTTTCCTGTTCTGATACTGTTCTCTGACTTCCTCTCACTCAATGGACGATGCTTTTCATCTCTTGCATTGTCCATTTGTCACTTGTAGTGTTGAGAATTTAATTGATTGGGTTTTTCTTTTGACGTACTTCTCCTACTTAACTGATTTTATATTAAAAAGAATCTTCATCCCCCTTTCAAAATGGAAAACCAGTGTCACTTGCCATAAAATGTGGCCATCAACTTATATTCATCTACAAACCACCTAAAATCTTCTCTAACTCCTAGAGTGTGGGTACGTCTCTTCCAGAAATAGTTGTCTGCCAAGCAGCCAGCTGAGGACATTACAGGGAGGGTGGTACCAGAGGAGGCATTATCTTCTTTCTATGGAGTAAAGAGTTTCATCCTTTGGAGTCTGTGATCCCACTCCTGGCGTAGAGAAAACTGTCAAATGTGCAGTGCTAAATTTGGAAAGGAAAAGCTACTTAGTCAACAACATGACATTTTACCCCTGTTCTCTCATTTCTGTACTTAAAAAGGTCTCCTATGTTGGCAAAGAATTCCTAGGGTACAGGGATATGTTTTATTAGCCTTCTGATGACCTCCATGGAATGGTAGTTTTGTGGACCTCTCATGTAAGAAATTATTAGAAGCTACGTCGGTCCTTAATTTTTAGACTTCTGACTTTAGTTTTTTAAACTAGATCCAGAAATTAAATGGGGAGGGGTGTTTATTGCTAATTATTGTATTTATAGCCACCCACATTCCGATTACCTGCTGACAGCAGTAAAATGTTTGTCTGCCTTGGCTGAGGGGGTGTTGAATGGTTGAATGGATTCTTTTTTGAGCTATCCCCTGGCTCTCCATGCGGAAGATGATCACATTTCGGCTTTTAGAAATGGCCGATCCAAAGTTTGGAACGCGGTCAGATGTTTTCAAGTGCTACATTTTCCAAGTAGACTTGAAAAAATTGGGTCTTCCCAATTACTGGGCCCTTGAGTGTGGAAATGAGATTTAACTCTCCTTCACCACCGAGAGGATAAACGCCAGGATTCAGCGGGTTCCAGGAGCACAGCGAATGCAGGCTGTGCTTCTTCTTTCTTTTCCAAAGTCACCCCCCAGCCCCACCACCCCAGTGTGGCTGGACAAAGTTATGTTGTGTCCTTATTTGCTAGCCTGGTGTGCTCCCTGAGCAGGACCCTTGGCCTTGGGCAGCTGCTGCAGATTTCTCTGTGCAGAGCAAACATTTTCTTGGCGGGTGGCTCCAAGTTACCTTGGCTCGCTCCACTCGAACGAATGAAAGGTTGAATTGATGTCAAAACTCTGTTTGCAGCCTGTAGTCCAAACGCTTGCCGGACCAGTGGCCGAGGCTTGCAGCCCAAAGGTGTCCGCATCCGGGAGACTGCAGACTTCAAGGTTGATACCAAGGCTGCTGGAAGCGGGGAACTTGCTGTCACCGTGAAGGGTCCTAGTAAGTGCTCCTTTGTTTCCCCATCTCAGGTGTGACCTGGGCCGGCTTTGCAGCCCTGGTGTATGGATTTCATGCCACAGGCAGTTGTGATCGATCCCAGAGAGAATGTTATAAAAGAATTGAGGTGCTCTGAGCTCCATGGGGGAAGGAGGCAGGGATTGATTAGTAACGTCTGCCCTGGGTGCAGTGGGACCGGTGGTGGCTTGACAGCCTCCCCAATTTAAGGCTTCTGGGAATAGAAAAAGCCCTGATGTAATGGAGTTTGGAAAGTGCTGTCCTTGGAGCGACATCCTGAAGTGGCTTACTTTTTATTTGAGGAAACATGGGCTGGAGAGGAGGGGTCTTGCCCAAGGTCACACAGCTTGTAAGCATCTGAGCTGGAATGCAAGCACAGTCTCCAAAGCCAGTAATTTTCCCACTCCAGGTTACATTTTATAGACTATGAAATTATGCCAAGTACCTAATTACTATGATCAGTGCTTATGGAAGGAAAATAAAATTCCCTGAGATTAAGTTTTCTTTGTAGATAAATGCTGATCGTGGAGGGGTGCGTTGCACTCTGCAGCTCCTTCTTCTTCCCTTTTCGGGAAAGGAGACCGCAGACACGAGGATGAGGGTCTGCTCTGTCCGGGTTTGCCCCAGCATTTCTGGCTGTAGGCGTAGCAGCCCTCCATGGGTTTCTGCCTTGTGGGAATGTGCGTGGTCTCTGTGTTGTTCCCACCCTCTGTCTCCCCAACAGGCTGGGGCAGGAGTGCTCTGAGCTCCAGAAAGTTAATATTTGATCACAGAGCACCAAGCTGTGGAGAAGGCTGTGTTCGAAGGGTGGCCAAGGTTCTAGACTGCCCAGACCTGGAGCCAAGTTGCTCCGGGACTGCCCTCCCTGCTGGCTTGTTGCTACAGGAGCCAACGAGCCTTTTTTTTTTCCCCGCCTGACCTTGGATTCTCGCTTGGCTAAGTGGCTTTCCCAGCCAAACCTCAGGGCGCAACATAAAACAAGTTTCTACCTGATGGCTGAACCTGGAGTTTGTGGTACAGCATCTGAAATCTGTTCTCTTGTAGATAGCATGTAGAAGCTTTCTCACTGCTGCTGAAAGATATGCCAGGACAGTAAGCGGAAACCCATGCCAAATACTTATAAGGGCTCAGTGTCCCTCTACCGTTTCGTGAGAGGCTAAGACAGCTAGCGATGATAATTAGGAAAAATTAAGATATGACTAGGTGGTCAAGGACCTGTTGGCCCCCACCTCTGTAGAAGGTTCTCTGAGCTTTCAAAAGCTGGTAAGGTGGGAAATCTTCCTTTTCCCCACACTTAGAAGCAGAGATGGGTCTATTTTTTAGGCTTGGATTAATCTCCCAAGTTTTGAGGGGGTCACATTCTGAGGCAGCCCGTTTCCCTCTCTGGCTTACGTCTTGTGGATATTGCTGTCTTTCTGTTCTTGTCTTTTGGATTCTTGTTGGGAGCCTGGAATTGCTTTGGAAAAATGGTGTGTTTTCTTCCCACAGAGGGCCTGGAGGAGCTGGTAAAACAGAAAGGCTTTCTGGAGGGAGTCTATGCATTCGAGTATTACCCCAGCACCCCGGGGAAATACAGCATCGCCATCACGTGGGGGGGACACCACATTCCAAAGAGGTGAGTCTCCAGCCAGAGTTGCGTCTTCTCTGGGGGTGTGCTCGGCTCCGGGCAGGCTCACGAAGGTTCCTTCCCCAGGCTGCAGGAGCCAAAGAGATCTGCTTTGTTGAAAAACGTTTTTCTTTCTTTCTTTCTTTCTTTTTTTTTTTTTCTTTTTTTTAAGAGCAGCACACAGACATTTGGCCTGTTCTCAAAAACAGCACTGTGGTTTCGGTTGCCTTGCTTTAAATCAAATGCTGGCGGTCTGGGGCTGGGGGGAGGCAGGGAAGCCAGAAGGAGCAGTAATAGAGAGCAAATGGGCTGTGCATCTATACACCCTTATATAAACTAAGATTCTCTTTCCTTCAATGTGTGCCTCTGTTCAGGAATTTTACCCATGGGGGTAAAAATCTGCCATGGTTTACATTAAAATTCTCTAGGTGAGTGCAGTCAGGAGCCAAGGGACGCAGTCTACAGCTTTGCCTGTGGGCATCATAGTTACCCTCCCCTCTTCATCCTCCCCAGCCCTCCTGGGGGCACTTTTAGACTGAAAAGAATAAATTCCATTTACCTTGAGAAATAATGTAGGCATGATCGGGTTCTGAGAATCTCAGCAAACTTTTTAAAGATTTTTTTAAAAAGTTGGGGTGCCTGTTTAGAAAAGTTTTTTGAAAAATAAACAAATGAAGCTCAAAAAAAAAAGTTGGGGTGTCTGAGCTGCTCAGTCCATTAAGCATCTGCCTTTGGCTCCGGTTGTGATTCCAGGGTCCTGGGATCGAGTACCATGTTGGGTTCCCCACTCTGCAGGGAGTCTGTTTCTTCCTCTGCCTCTCTCTCTCTGTTTCTCATGAATAAATGAATAAAATCTTTAAAAAAACAACAAAAGTATATTTATTTAAGCAATCTCTACACCCAACATGGGGTTCAGACTCACAACCCCAAGATTAAGAGCTACTTGCTCTACAAACTGAGCCAGGTACCCCCTTTGCTTTTTTTTATTCTGCTATACCAAAGTTAAAGCTCATTCATTTGAAAAAGAAAGAAAGAAAGAAAAGAAAAGAAAAAACTCATTCGTTCATGTGTGAGATAAAGCCTGTTCAGCTTAGTTTTTGTCTTACAAGATATTTTTTAAGATTTTATTTACTTTAGGGGCACCTGGGTGGCTCAGTGGGTTAGAGCCTCTGCCTTCGGCTCAGGTCATGATCCCAGGGTCCTGGGATCAAGCCCCGCATCCAGCTCTCTGCTCAGCAGGGAGCCTGCTTCCCTTCCTCTCTCTCTCTGCCTGCCTCTCTGCCTACTGTGATCTCTGTTGAATAAATAAATAAATAAAATCTTAAAAAAAAATATTTTCTTTACTATAGAGAGACAGAGGCAGCACAGGTGGGAGGGGCAAAGGGGGAGGGAGAATGAGAATCTCAAGTAGAATCCATGCTGGGCATGGAGCCTGATGCGGGGCGCCATCCCAGGACCCTGAGATCATGACCTGAGCTGAAACCATGAGTTGGACACCCAACCAACCGCACCACCCAGGTGCCCCTTATTCATACAATATAAACAGGATATAGGAAGGCAGGTACTCTCTTACCTTCCTGAGCTCGTGGTCTGCTGAGCCCTGCACTCAAAATGTGAATGATGGGAAGGATAGTGTGAGGCAGGATGTTTTGAGAGCCCACCTAGCAGCCACCTGAGTGCCCCAAGGCAGCCACAGTACTTATATTGTTGACATAACAATGGCTGTGGGCGCACCTGTGTGGAGGAAGGGCTTGGCTGGACACTGGGACTCCAGGTAAAAGGAGTGGAAAAAACAGCTTATGGCTGTATTTAGTTCCTTCTTTGCTCTTCTTTAATGCTTTTTGTCCCTTTTCTCCTAGCCCCTTTGAGGTTCAAGTTGGCCCTGAAGCAGGCATGCAGAAAGTTCGTGCGTGGGGCCCTGGCCTCCACAGCGGGATTGTCGGGCGGTCGGCAGACTTCGTGGTGGAGTCCATTGGCTCTGAAGTGGGGTCTCTGGGTAGGTGGAAGCAGCCGGCCAGCAGCCCTGGGGGGCTGAGATGACATGAGGCTCCGTTCCGGTGTTAGACTGAGAATCGGGCCTCCTCCAAGCCTCGCTCCCCTTTGCCCCCAGCCTCCTGACCCCCCAAGTCCAACTCTTGATACCGCTGTGGGATTGCGATTTTCCTTTTCCTCTTGCCCTGCAAATTGCCCTCTGCCTTTTCATTCATTCATCTGCTAAACCTCAAGGTAGAGGTTTCTTGTGGATATGGTGCTTGAAACAGTGCCTGGAACGTCGGAGGCACTTGTCAAATAATGTTGACTGATTCTTAGTTTAGATGAATGAATGAATTTTGCTGAAATTTGAAATTTGGAGAATAAATATTCTTTGGAGCAGAACAGTATATTTTAAACACACCTCCGACGTATATAGGATCACTTTAGAACAGTGGTCGGCCAACCTGCTCTAAAAAGGAGCAGAAAGCAAATATTTTAATCTTGTGGGCCATATTCTCCCCACTGCAGCTGTGGTTGCATGAAAGCAGCCAGAGAAGGGAGGTAAGTGAAGGAGTGTGGCTGTGTCCCAGCAAAGCCTTATGTACAGAAACAGGTGTACTGGCCATAGTGTGATGACCAACTGTTTCAGGTAGTAAAAAACTGGCCAAAAAGAAGAAATCACCTTTAGTGTTTCCTTCTAGAGAGAGAATCAATGTTTTGGTATGATATTAAACCTTTTGGCATATCCTTCTAGGCTTTTTTTTTTTTTTTCCTATGCATGGACATATAAACATTCATCTGCCACAAAGAATACCTAGGGGTAATCTTTCTATCTTTCTGCCTCAGATAAAGATAGGCCGTGTCTTCATTTTCCATGCCTTCTTTGGAATTCCATTGCATGGATATGTCTGTTAGGCTCTCTGGTTATTTTCACGGTTTTCCTGTAGAAACAGTGCTGAGTACATAGACTGTTTCTGTTTACACATAGCCTTGATTACTTCCTTTAGACAAGAGCCCAGAAGTGGATTTGATGGGGCAAAGGGCGGGCATTGGTTTAAGGTTTTAGTTGACCTTCCTTGTTAGATGATGTTTTAAAAACAATAATAACAACAACAAAAAAAACTCCATGGTATAAAATCCAACCTTCCATATCTAGTGACGACTCAGTAATCTTGGTTTTGTCAGAAAGGGATACAAACAGATTTCAGTCTTCTGGCTGATACTTGCTTTGAGGGAATGAGCCAATAGAATAGGTTCTTTCTACCATGCAACCAGGGGTCCCTTTCATCTTGTCCCCCAGGGTTTGCCATTGAAGGCCCCTCCCAGGCAAAGATTGAGTATGATGACCAGAACGATGGGTCATGTGATGTCAAGTACTGGCCCAAGGAGCCTGGTGAGTATGCCGTTCACATCATGTGTGATGACGAAGACATCAAGGACAGCCCATACATGGCCTTCATCCACCCGGCCGCGGGAGACTACAACCCGGATTTGGTAAGCCTGTCACGTTTCTGTGCTCTCCTCCTGGCTCCTGGCCCTCTCTGTGGTGCGCAGAGGGCGATGCTAACCAGTCTGTTGAGGGATGGCAGCGAGGAGCCGTGTAGAGCTTAGGAAGGATGCTGATCTGAGTTGGAACCCTGGTAGTACCACTCCAGAATTTTCTAATGGTGGGCCAGAAAGAAAAGATTCTTTCTCTTTACAGTGGGAATGATGGCCCTTTCTGCCTCCCAGTGTTTCTGGGATGATTCAAGGAGCTAAAGACATGCATAAAGATAACCCTTCGCCCAGTGCCTGGCCCGTGCAGGGGGTCATGGGGACTGCTGCTCTTTTTCTCCCCAGCTCCCTTATCTTAAATGGGAACAGTATTTCTAAGAGCTTCTGTCACACTCTTAGGCAGCGGATAAGCATCGAGTCTGAGGTGGCCTGGCTGCCAGCAGGAAGCCTCCATGCCTCCACGTGTGCTGCCCTGGCCCACACGGGGAGCCATTTGTAGCCTGGTGGCGGTCTGGGCTGGTTGCCCTTCCTCATTGGCCAGTGGCTGGTCCTTTGTTCTCTAGAGCTGTAAACCTTTGGGATGTCTGTGGTAAAGTTTCTGAGTCCCCTCCGTGTGGGAACGTTGAACCCAGACATGACTGGCGATCCCTGCCCTGGGTACTAGAAGTTGTCTCTGTCTGCTCAGAATAAGGCAAGGAGCCCCGGGCTAGTTTGGGGCCTGGTTTTGGAGAGTTTTCTTCCTGCTTGGAGGTTAATGATACTGTTTGTAATTTTGGGGTTACAACCTGCTGGAGCATTTTCTTCCTTCCCTAACCATCCTGTTATATAGGTAGTGTGAAACCAGACACCGGTGATTTTGCTATCTTGTTCCTGGGTCCTTGGTCATTATGTAGGGGTTTCGTTCAGGCATTGCACAGAAGGAGAATCATTATTGGCCCTTTGCCCCAGGTCCAAGCATACGGGCCAGGTTTGGAGAAATCTGGGTGCATTGTCAACAACCTATGTGAGTTCACCGTGGATCCTAAGGATGCTGGAAAAGCCCCCTTGAAGATATTTGCTCAGGTAAGTTTCCAGGGACCATCTCTACAGGTAATCATCAGGAGACATGATCTGTCACTATAATGGCAACTTGGCTCTATTCACCTGACCCTCAGTTTATTCATCTGCACGCTGGGAATAAGAAGAATATCTCTTGAGGTTATGTGCGGATTACATGGGATTCTAATATGTAAAGCAGGGTGCTTTTCTCATTTTTATGACTTGTATTCTTTGGAAACAAGGCTTGATTTCAGATTTCCCATGTACATGTCCTTCAGAGTGGCCAAAGCTACCTAGGCCTTCACCGGAGGTTTGTAAATAAGCGTTTTATTAAATATGTTTATCTGATTTAATCAAATTTGGCCCAGGGATTTAAGTGCAGGAATTAAAATTAAGAAGGACTTTTTAAGATTGATTTATTCAGTGAGAGAGTGTGTGCACATGTGCAAGCACACACCGGAGTGGGGGAGGGGCAGAGAGGGAGAGAGAATCTCAAGCAGACCCCTGCTGAGCGTGGAGCCTGATGCAGGGGCTCCATCTCTAGACCCTAGATCATGACCTGAGCTGAAATCAAGAGTCTGACACTTAACCAACCGAGCCACCGAGGTGCCCCCAAATTAAGAGGTATTGAGTGGTCATGACTTTCTAGCAGGGTCATTTGCTCTTATGAAAAAAACAAATAAATGCAGGCAGTATTTGTTACCTGTGGTGACGACATTGTGAGAGTGTGACATATCATAGTTGTTCCATATTTTGTTGGATGGATGGTGAATTGATGGTCTTGGGAAGCCATGGTGGCCCTGTTTAATGAAGACTGTGTGAAGGCCAGTTTCTGTTCTTAGCCCCTGCTCTTTTGCAGGATGGGGAAGGCCAGCCCATTGACATCCAGATGAAGAGCCGGATGGACGGCACGTACGCCTGCTCGTACACCCCGGTTAAGGCCATCAAGCACACCATTGCTGTGGTCTGGGGAGGTGTGAACATCCCACGCAGCCCCTACAGGGTAGGTTGTGAAGCCTAATCCTGGCCACTCTGTGAAAAAGCCAAGACCTGTGGCGGGTCTGGGCTGTATGCTAACTAACAACGTTCCACTTGGTCCAAGTGGAGGAAAACTTGGTTATAACTTTGGGCCGTGTTCTTTTTAGGTCAGTATCGGGCAGGGTAGCCATCCCCAGAAGGTCAAGGTGTTTGGGCCGGGTGTGGAGCGAAGTGGACTGAAGGCAAATGAGCCTACTCATTTCACGGTGGACTGTACTGAGGCTGGGGAAGGTGAGTGGAGGGTTCCCCCATTGAGGTCGTTGATGCTTCTTGAGGAAGAACGTTCTTTTCCTAATGTTGGAAGGGCAGTGAACTTTGAGCTAGAAAATAGTGCACCTGAATAGGTAATTGTTCATCTAATGAGCATCTGTGGCAATTCCTTGGTGATCTTTGCTAATCCTCCATTCCTCCTCCAAAGCCCTGACTTAGCACCATCCCTTTGTCAGGCTTGTCACTGGAAACTTCCCAACTGCTTTTCTGGGGTGTTAGCTGAACTGAGCTGGAAGTGATTGCATGGGACATGCTGTTTCTTGTACACTGGTGCGCTCATAAGCTGGTCTGTTCCAGGTGATGTCAGCGTTGGCATTAAATGTGATGCCCGGGTGTTAAGTGAGGATGAGGAAGACGTGGACTTTGACATTATTCACAACGCCAACGACACGTTCACGGTCAAATATGTGCCTCCTGCTGCCGGGCGATACACTATCAAAGTTCTCTTTGCATCTCAGGTGTGTGTTGGGCCTGGGTTCTTTCTGGCCACCTGTATGCATATTTCCTTTTTGTTTCGTTTTGTTTTATTTTGTTTTTTAGCAATAGGGCAGTGTCTTGAGAATTCTCAGGTTTTCCTCTCTGGTTTCTGAAAACCGTAAGGAAAAAAAAACAAAACAAAACAAAAAGAAACCCACCCAGAACTAAATTTTTACCACTTTCTGACCAAAGTGAGGCGCATAGTGTTTTCATTGGTTATAGCAGGGCTCTGGAAGGAGACTGGTTTGTTAGAAATGCTTGTCAAGTTTTTGACTGAAACATAATGAACTTCTGGACGTGTTCTACCTCTCCTTCTTTGAAGCAATGGCTTTGGCCTTGACCCTTACATGTCTATAGGGAGAGGAGGTTTGACCTTTCACATCACATTGAGCTCGTATTTATTTGTGATAGGTGAAGATAAGGCAAGTGGTACCTAAAACAGGGAACAGTGGAATCCTGGTGATTCAGATTAACCTCCTGTAAGGATGGAATCTCAAGAGAAAGTTCTCTGCCTGAAGGTGTTGGTCTTGAATTGATTTCATCCAGTTAACCTGTTCTGCCTTTATTCTGATAATCTGTACCATTCTTTGTGCAGAATTACAATCCTATTTCTGATCAGCTCCTCCCATTCCCCAAACCTTAGCTCTGAACTGTTCCTAAGGGCCTGTCTTTTAGCCCAATCCTTTTTGTTATTGTCATTTTGGGTTTTATTCTTGGTAGGATTTTTGCATCCTAAGAACTCAACTTTTGGTGTTAAAGGCTCAGAGTTTTCCGATTCATTAGGAGGAAACCTTCCTTCAGCTGTGCAGTAAGCAGGTCAAAGCCTGTCATGGAGGGATCCAGGCATTCATGAATGACCCCCGATGACCCCTACCTTAGGTTAGAGTATGAAAACTTGACCCGTGGGGAAAGAAGTTTGCCTGCTGCCCACCAGAGTCACAGAGGTCTCCCTTTCGCGTTGGGCAGAAGGCTAAGCTCTGGCAGAAGATTCAGGGGCTTTCCTACTGAGATAGTGTCTCCCCTGCAGGAAATCCCCGCCAGCCCTTTCAGAGTGAAAGTTGACCCTTCCCATGATGCCAGCAAAGTGAAGGCAGAAGGCCCAGGGCTCAGCAAAGCAGGTAAGAGAGTACCCGTGAGAGGCCATCCCGGAGGCCTTCTGTGGTCCAGTGGCCATGGGCAAGTTCGGTCCGGGGACCCTGAGGGACTTATCTCCTCGCAAGGCTGGTCCTGTTGGGGTTCCCATTCAGCAGAGGCGGTGTTCCTGTCGAGCTGTTGGCAGTGCTCCTGAGCACCGGCCCCTGTCACCGACTGCCTTGCTGGTGCTGGGGCTGATGGACCCGTCGGACTGGTTGTAAGAGTGAAACCACTCCAGCCACGCCTGTCTCCTCACTTCACAGTCTGTCCTTCCAGGTGTGGAAAACGGGAAACCAACCCACTTCACGGTCTACACCAAAGGGGCCGGAAAAGCCCCATTGAACGTGCAGTTCAGTAGCCCCCTTCCTGGAGATGCTGTGAAGGACTTGGATATCATCGACAATTATGACTACTCCCACACCGTCAAATACACACCCACCCAGCAGGTAGGGTCCTTCCCGTGTCCGCTGCCACGGGCCCAGGCCCCCTCCCTCTCAGTGCTGTGCTGGGCACTTTGGACACCAGTACTGTGGTCGGTGCTCTGTTGAGGTGCTCCTCCGTGGGTATAGGCTCTTTATTCCTGTCATTCTGAGCCTCTCCAGGAGGGCTGGCAAGAGGCCTGGTTGGTTCTGTGAGAGAGGCCTGAAGGTTTCCCTAAGTACAAGGGGCAAGCTAGATTGTCTCTCCCCATCCCCATCTCCCACCTCCATTTTGGGTTTTAGCAGAAACAGTGAGCTCTTGAAATTCGGAACATAGTATTTTCCTCTTAGTCCACACACTCTTCACATTCTTACCAGCTGCCCTTAAACGCAGTCTTTTCTTACTTACTGCAAGGGTAGGAAGGGCGACCCCTTTGTGTTTTCTTGCTGGTCCCATTTACAAGGTGGTGGAGTGGGTCTCTCTCAAAACCCAGTTCAGCCCTTGGTCCCTTAGGCCTGAGATACTATCTAGGGCCCCAGATTGTCCTCTTTTACAAAATCCAGAAACGTACACAGGATCTTATGATCCAGGCCACTTTGCTCTGATTACTTTAGGCAAGAAACACCTAAAAAATGACCTCTCAGCCTCTCTGTGTGAATTCATGTTAATTTGTTAAAAATTGGGGTTTGCTTCATGGCCACACATCTGGGGTGTGAGGAACAGAAAACCCAGAAGAAAAGCCTGGATTTACTTTTTTTTTTATACGTAGTATTCTGCACAGTCCTTCTGAACCTCTCAGATTTCTTCTTTCCTGAGGAAAATAGTCCCCCTTGTGTGAGGTACCTCTTGTAGGAGAATAGGGGTGACGCTTTCTGTAGAAACACCACCCAAGAGAGAAGCTTCACTCCTGCCTGACCCTCAGGAGCTGCCCGGAGTCTAGTGGGAAGGAACGACGGGTACGGTGAAGATGAGGGGATGGTGCACGTGTCCCTTTGCATTCGGGGCTACATGTCCTTGGAGATGGACTCTTTGGCGATGGGAGCGGTTCTCTGGGGTGAATTCTGTGCCACCGTAAAGATGTGGCCTCTTACATCCAGCTGTCCTTCCTGTGGTTTTTGTTTTGACCTTAAGGAGGGCTTCCTTGTTAGTGATGGTAAAAATACTTTTGTAGGTAGGATCCTCTTTATTCGTCAGGGCGCTCAGGGCTACGTAGGTAATTATTTTCCTGATAAGGAAAAGGGTTGGCAGGAGACTCACCATTGGGAGCACCAGCATGACATCATCCTTGTTGCGAATTCTCTACATTCCTTAGGAGAAGGTACCAGAGAGCATGGCCCTGCACACTGGTCAAGGTCACAAGGTCTTCGACTCCTATAAAACATCTTGCTTTCTCGTCTGTCTACAAACCTCATTGGGTTCTGGCTAAGCCATTCGAAAGTAAATTGCAGACATCAAGACAGAATCAGGTTTGGGCCTGCACCCCCAGAAAGGGCTTCAGAACCTCTTGCCATTTGGGGCAAAGGTGGAGGCTAGAGAGACCTAGAGAACTTCTTATTTCGAAGTCACCCCAGGGTCAAGTTCATGCGGTTCTTGGAGAACAGCAGGTTTTTCGGCAGGCTCCCTGGGCGCATGGGGCTTTGCTCAGATGGTGCTGGCCATATACCCAGGGAGCCTGGCCATCTTGGGTGTCAGTCACTACCTCCAGTGTGAGCAGCTCACCTCATGCCTTTTTAGTTCTTCTTATTTGGTGTCTAGAACAAAGTTCATGGTTTCATTTTTTGGGCAACTTGCAGTTTCGCATATTTCTCTGTGGCAGAGAAAGCAGATTAAATTTCTTCTCTTGGATGGTGAGTTTCCCAGCAATGGGATAGTGTGCCTCTTTCCGGCCCCAGTCTGAGCACAGGGACTGATGGTGTAGGTTCTCTACATGGATTTATAGCATAAAGCATGAATACACAAGGTTGAGCCTCTCTACTCACAAGCAGAGACAACAGAAAAACTTTGTAGGGACAGTGGGGCCAACACATCCTTGTCCACCTTTGATCTCTCTTTTCTGAAGAGCGGCATACAGCTCAAGATTGGGTTAAATAAGCTTGCCTTTTGAGCTTTGCCCTTGGATGTGGTTAAGAGGCCTGGGTCAGCCCAGAAGGCCCTGCCCAACGTGGAGGCAGGGAGTGTACGTTGAGGGCTCATACTCAGAGTGCACCTTCTCATGGTGGTTTTTGGAATAACAGACTGGAGTTTTCCAGAAATGGAGTTGTTTAGTGTGTGTGTGTGGAGAGAGGGCAGTGGCTCCTGGCCCAGGGACACCGTGTCACCCTCAGCATGCAGGCCATGCTGTGTGAGGAGCTGTCCCCTGCAGGGTCCCTGAGCCACAGCTTGAAGATCCCTGCTGACCTACAGTGGACCGACCAGTCACGGTCTTGTCGGAAAGCAGTGGTCAGCTGTTGTGCCTTGGTGGAGTGTCACTTGTTGGATTGGGGCTTCAGGATCCTCCCAAAGGTCAGACGGAGACTGGAAGGGAGATCACACCATGCCGTATTCTCCTAAGGATTTTGCCTTTTGTGCTTTCGGTTTTCCGTGACCTCAAGGGACTTGGGTTTCTTCCCCCATATTCCCTCACAAAGAGCAAGCGCTTTGAGAAGCCGGTGGCGGCAGCTCCGTGACCTGCCAGGTCAGAAGCCACTGGGAATCGTCAACCCCACACACTTCCTAGGGGTGCCTTGAGGAGACCCTGTGGGTTCACTGATCTCCCTGCCTGTCCCAGAGATCACTGGAGGAGGAGGGGGCTGTGGGTAACTCACTTGATCCTGTCCTCACCTGAGCTCTTGGGTCAGAGCAGGGTGGGATTAAGGTCTCAGAGGCGCAGTAGGGAGAGAGTAAAACTGTCCTGTAGTCAGCAAAGTCGTTTGTGAAACGCACCAGTGGTCATTTCTCAGACATTCCTGATGTCACCCCCCTCTGGGGGGCAAGCACAGTCCGTTCCTTAGCTGGGCCCCAGAGGAAACCTTAAATGCTACGAAGCAATCCAGGTGGAAGTCCGTTAAGATTTCTTCCTCCCCCTTGTTAGGTTATTTTAAGTAGAGTTCATTTCCTCTCTGAGGTTTTTTTTTTGTTGTTGTTTTTAATGACTGGTAATGAGAACACACTTTTTTTCATGGGATGGGTAGGCCTAACTGAAAGAGGACTTTTCCCTCTCCTGTGGCATTCTGGGGACACAATCAGACGACTTCCAGGGCTGGTGGAGAAGGTTTTTCCATGACCCATGGTCAGCCATGAGGCCTCTCCCGCAAGGAGTGAGGGGCTTGTGGTCAAATGGAAGCTTGGGAGTTGCTGGCCTGATGGGGATGCCATGGTGGCTGAAAGTCACAAACTACTCCCCGACTTCCTTATTACAAAGAGGAGACCTGTCCTGTCCTGGGCTGGCTCTGAGCTCTGTTGGGTCGGACCTGTGCACGTTCTACCATGAACATGGTGCACGCCTCCAAAATCCTGGAGGATCCATCCTCCCTCCTTCATTGATGTAACCAATTCTTTTCTTGGCTTTTGCCCCCCCTTTTTTTTTTTATTATGAAAAGCAGCGTGAAGGATGACTGAGTGGCTTAGTCGGTTATTAAGCCGCTGCCTCCGACTCAGATCATGATCCCAGGGTCATGAGATCGAGTCCTGCATCGGGCTCCTTGCTCAGTGGGAAGCCTGCTCTCTCTCTGCCTCTGCCTGCCACTCTGCCTGCTTGTGTGCTTGCTCTCTCTCTCTCTCTCTCTCTCTGACAAATAAAATCTTAAAAAAAATGACAGCACGAGAAAATACATGTGGGCCAGAAGCTACACCCTTTAACACTTGATCACCGGCAGCTTTCAGTAAAGCCTGAATTCTGGCAACCCACCCCACCCCAGATTCTCAGGGGATATCGTCTCTCCCTCCATAGCCTTTGATGGTATGCCTGGGGTGTTTGAGGTGAGGGAGAGCTTCATCTACGGAGACCGCCGTGGGCTTTCATGGAGCCTGGGTTTGGCAGTGGGGTGATGCTTAGCCGACGGGAGAGGGGAAGCCAGCAGGGAGTGGGCCGCACGGGCTGGAGGAGAAACGCCCTGTGCATACAGTCGGCGTTCCCACAGACCCGGGGCTGCGAAGAAGCAGCCTGCCAAACCCACAGGCGGGATTCCCTTCACACTTGCAACTTTCCTTTCCTTGACATAGATGTGGGAGTTTAGAGGCTGCTGTAGTGAGCAAATCCCTCTCACAGGCTACGGGCCTGAAACTGATTTCTGAGACATAGAAAAAGCTGGTTTTGGTCAGTGAGAGGCTCCTGTAGATGGCAGCTTTACCCGCGGCTGGGGGTGGGTGTGTGCTGGGCAGGGGGTAGTGCGGCCCAGCAGCTGAGACGGAGGTCTGGGTGCCATGGGTATGAGGTCCAGCTCTCGCACTTACCAGGCATGTGATTTGGGGCAAGTGCCTCTACCTCCCTGAGCTGTAGTTTCCTTTCCTGGAAAAATGGGAACAGCAGTGAGAACCACCCCTTTGGACTGTTTGGAGATTGAGTCAAGGAAATGCTTGAAAGCATGGCATACAGTATGCTTAGGAAGTCTCCCTTGTTGTTCTTAGCTGCTCTGATTTTATCTGACTTCTCGGTTGTTTTTGCCATGGGGCCAGAAACTTAAAGAAATACGTCTGTGGAGTTTCTAAATCTGCTGGAGTGAAGCGCCCAGAGTCTCTGGAAGAATGAAAGATCTGGAAGGCGGGTTTAAACAAGCTAGGGGGCACCTGGCTGGCTCAGTCTGTTAAGCATCAGCCTTCGGCTTAGGTCATGGTCTTGGGGTCCTGGGATTGAGTCCCGCATCGGGCTCCTTGCTCAGCGGGGAGCCTGCTTCTTTCTCTGCCTGCTGCTCCCCCTGCTTGTGTGCTCTCTGTCTGACAAATAAATGAGTAAAATCTTTTTACAAAATGAAATAAAGATAAATAGCAAGTTAGATGTTGGTGCCCAAAGGTACACTCGCTGTCCTCTCGTTGCAGGGCTCTATGCAGGTGCTGGTGACCTATGGCGGCGACCCCATCCCTAAAAGCCCTTTCACTGTGGGCGTGGCCGCTCCATTGGATTTGAGCAAGATCAAGATTAATGGACTGGAAAACAGTAAGTGGGTGGACGCAGGGGAGACGGGGTCACCGAAGACCCCCCCCACTGGGGCTGCCTGTTAGATGCCTTTCAAAAGAGAGTTTGCAGAGGGCGTCTGGGTGGCTCAGTCGTTAAGTGTCTGCCTTCGGCTCGGGTCATGATCCCAAGGTCCTGGGATCAAGTTCCTCATTGGGCTCCCTGCTCAGAGGGAAGCCTGCGTTCTCTCCCACTCCCCCTGCCTCTGTTCCCTCTCTTGCTGTGTCTCTCTGTCACATAAATAAATAAAATCTTGAAAAATAGATACCCAAAAGACAGTTTGCAGGAAAGCAAACTCTGCCCTAGCAGACCTTGCAGTGGGACAGACATGGGTGTGATCTGGGGCCACGCAGCAGGGTTGCACTGTGACCTTACCTGTGCTTAACCTCCCCGAGCCTCCGTCTCCTCATTTGTACAGTGGGGGCGGGGGGAACACTGTCAAGAACACTTAACATTCGTGGGAATATTTTGAAAGGTAAATGAGCTCATAATTCAGGGGCTGGCACATCATCAGCCCTCAGTAACTGCTGGCTTCGCAGCGGGATGTTTTCATTGCAAAGAGAAGTTGGGACGCGATACCTTCTGGTAACTTGTACTGTGCTAGCTGTCCTTGGCCTTGGATCCACATGAGGAGGGACCATCAAGGGTAAAAGCCAGCTCCCGGAACTCAGAAGCCACGACTCTGATGCAGCCCCCACCCCACCCCCATATTCCTTTAGCTTGGTGGGTATCTTGTTAGTATAAGCTCATCTCATTTATTTTAAAATGTTTTCATTTGTTGTATTAGGGAAAATTCCAAACATAAAAACGTAAACACAGTAATAGTATATAAACACTGGTGTACTCCCCACTCAGCTTCAGAAGTTTCAGCATATAATCATGAAATTCTTTTTTTTTTACGCAAAGTAACGCATAAATCCATTTTCATCTAAAAAATAAGGCACCGCTGTTGAGACTAAACTCCACAATCTGCATCACCTCTTATTCTTCCTAGGGCGAATCAAAGTTACCTTCAGTTTCGGTCCTTCCAGACCTCCTCTCTACCTCTGCATACACGCCAGCAGCAAACGTTTGGTAGTGTTCGTTTTGCATTAGTGTCATCCTGCTATGCCCATATGCCTGCAGCCTGCCTTTAGACGTGAGCCATGCATCTTGGAGAACCTTTGCACCAGTATTGCCTTGCACGAGCTGCCGTATGGCTGAAGCCTGGCCACACCTCTGTAGCACACACTCAACCTGATTTCAGGGTCATGCAGGGCTCAGTGCATCCCCCCATCCCCAATCCCGGGCAGACCTTTTCGGTCTCAGTGGACCATCGATGAGCACCTTCATGGACCTGGGACTCAGACGCACCGGTTGTAAATGAGGCCACTTCCCAGCTCTGGGTTCTCTGAAACTCGGCCAGCAACAAGTGTGTGAAAGTCACTGGCCAGTCCTTTCGTGGGTCTCCTCATTGCTGCTTCCTCTAACACACCTACGGCTTCAGTTCCAGACCAGGAAAAACACAAGGCCGATTAGGAAAAGCCTTTGGGCCGTGGTGCTCCGAGGCCTCCTTGCTTGTGGTTCGGAGGTGCTGGTTTGGGAAGCCTCCTACCGCCCTAGAGTCAGGATTTCCCTGGCTTGTGGTGGGAGCCCTATGCTCCCAGTGCTGGCATTTCGGTTCAAAGTCCTTTCCCCTTTTTTTGTCAGATACAACACATGGTTTTTCCAAGGTCCTGCTTTGCAGGGATCTTTCGAATATCGGTGCAATACAGAGTCCGTTCTTCCGACTTGCTCTGGTGCCCCTGCATTGACTAGCTCTCTGACTTTTGCCTTGTTGCCTGTGGGATTAAATTTGCTGCCAAGAATTAGTAAATAAAACATTGGATTCTGGGAATGTTTTGATATAAAGTTAATACCAGAAGTGAGTAAAGGAGAGAGGATAGTGTCAGGTTATGATTTCCTCGTTGGCAGAGCGGATCGCGAGGTCGTGTGAGTCCCACCTTTGTGGTCTGTTGCGTATGGCACCCTGGACACATTCCTTGACCTCGGAGCCTCCGTTTTCCCATCTGTTAAAGCCATTGGTAACTAATAAATACCCTCTAGGGTTGTGGTAAAAATTAAAGGAGGCCATGTGGTATACTGAGAAATGCAGTCATTGAGTGATCAATCATTATTGGTTTTTAAGTAACCCATCATTATAGTATCAGTAAGTGTCAGCTCTCATTGCTAGTAATATCTATGGTTAGCTAGTAGCTGTTCTCGTACTGATTATTATCTAGGTAGATGCTGATTATCCTGACTTAGTCTTGCTTCTTGTCCTTGGTATCTGCCCTTGCTTGTGGCCCAGACTGAGATAATGCCTCCTGTCCAGGGAACCCTCACTGGTCTGCTCTCAGCCATTCTGCTGCTGGAAAGGGCGAGCTGATCACTTGGGCGTGTCTCCCTTTTCCAGGAGTCGAAGTTGGGAAGGGTCAGGAGTTCGCCATCGACACAAAGGGAGCAGGAGGCCAGGGGAAGTTGGATGTGACGATCCTAAGCCCCTCGAGGAAGGTTGTGCCTTGTATGGTGGCGCCCGTGGTGGGCCGGGAGAGCAGCACAGCCAAGTTCATCCCTCGGGAGGAGGGGCTCTATGCTGTCGACGTCACCTACGATGGACACCCCGTGCCTGGGAGCCCCTACACAGTGGAGGCCTCACTGCCACCAGATCCCACCAAGGTCAGCTTTCGTTCCTGTGCCGGGACTTGTCTCCTGTTGTCAAATAGAACACTGTAGTCCTTCACCGATCCTGCTTGACCAAGTCCTGTAGAAAATCGTTTTCTGAGGAAGGTCCATTCTCAGCGGCTGACAGTTGTTTTCCCTCCCACAGTTCAGCCCGAGGGGACCCTTGGGTGGCTGGGTGTCCTCCCCACATTGCTGTTCCTCTTGCTTTCTGGCAGTGAGGCTTGGGTGAGGGACTCCTCGTCCCTGAGTTCTGTCCCTTCACTTGTTAGCATGACAAAGAGCCCTCGCTTCACAGTGAGCCCATAAGGGTTAGCTAACCCTGCAGGAACTATATACCTCAGTATCAAAAATATATCCGTCTCCTTCTCATTGCTTCCTGGTAGCCCTGAATCAAGGGTTTTTAGAACAGCGTGAATCCTATAAAATGGTCTTATTTGTTGAATCAGAGACGAACATCCTGTCCCCTCCCTCTGGTAAAAGCAGTTTCGTTTACTCATTTGCTTTTAAATCTTTATATCAGAATTTAGTTTTTTAGAGCAGTTTTAGGTTCGTCGTAAAACGTGGAGACAGGTACAGAGATTTCCCTCCTACTCCTGCACCTTTGGGTGCCTAGCCTCCCCATTATTGCCGTCCCCCACCAGAGCGGTGCATTTGTTCATACTGCGAACTTGCTCTGACAGTGTGTTCACCCCCAGATACGTAGTTTATGGGGGCGTTCGCTCTGGGCGCTCTGCATTCTCCGGGTTTGGACAAACGTACTGTGACACATACCCACCACCCCAGGGTCGTGTTTTATTACACGGAATTTGTTGAGGGAGGCGTAGCTGTCCAAGCAACAGAGAGGTCCATAAAAGCCATCCCTATGAGCGTTCAGCCCCGCGTGTGTGTGTGTGAGATGAGACGTTAGGTCTCCACCTCTGGCCCATGGTTCAGAAACGCTGGGCATGTCTGGACGGGCAGTCAGGCCCCATGCTCTGGAGGGCCACGCCTCTGTGCTGTGGCTTTCCGAGTTGACTGAGCTCACAGGTGTGTCTCCCTCTGGTAGCCGTTCAAAGCCTGGGATGATTGCACTATGGATCCATGGCAGTGTCTGTCTGATGCGAGGTAGGCCCGAGGGAGAAGGGCCCCTGGACCGCGAGGCAGCTCAGCGCTGAGTGCAGGCTGGGGTGGTGAGCAGGGCTGGCCGAGCAGCATCCCCAGCGTCAGGCAGAGTGTGACTTTATTTTCTTTTGAACTAGGTGAAGGCCTATGGCCCTGGCCTTGAAGGTGGTCTCGTGGGCAAGCCCGCCGAGTTCACCATCGACACCAAAGGAGCAGGCACTGGAGGTCTGGGCCTCACCGTGGAAGGTCCATGCGAGGCCAAAATCGAATGCTCTGACAATGGGGATGGCACCTGCTCCGTCTCTTACTTGCCCACAAAGCCTGGGGAGTACTTTGTCAACATCCTCTTTGAAGAAGTCCACATACCTGGTTCTCCCTTCAAAGCCGACATTGAAATGCCTTTCGACCCCTCTAAAGTCGTGGCGTCGGGACCGGGTCTCCAGCACGGGAAGGTGGGCGAAGCCGGGCTGCTGAGCGTGGACTGTTCGGAAGCAGGCCCCGGGGCCCTGGGCCTGGAAGCCGTCTCAGACTCGGGAGCGAAAGCCGAAGTCTGTATTGAAAACAACAAAGACGGCACCTACGCGGTGACCTACGTGCCCCTGACCGCCGGCATGTACACTCTGACCATGAAGTATGGCGGTGAGCCGGTGCCCCACTTCCCCACCAGGGTCAAGGTGGATCCCGCCATCGACACCAGCAGGGTCAAAGTCTTTGGGCCAGGAATAGAAGGAAAAGGTGGGTTTCATTAAAAAGTCTGCAAAATAACTTAGGACATAGGGGTCCCCAGAAACTCAGAGTAGATGTGCAAACTGATGGACCCCCCAGGGGCCACGTGGAGCATAAGAAAGCGCACTCCTGTGGCTTCGGCATCAGGAAGAGAGGGACCACAGCAAAGCCGTGAGCATGTGACATTTCTGCTGCCTGAGCCTCACTTCGTTTCTCTACGGGGGACAGGGCCCAACACTGCTGGCAGATGTTCTTATTTTTCTGGCAAAGCCAGAAATTGTGATTTTTACGTGGAAATTCAAGATCTTTCATTTTTGGCACTAATTGATAAGGTTTAAAATGTGATGCTGTTACCATATTTGCTGCAGAGCAGGTCTGTCTTTTTGCTTTACCCTGTCCAAGAGTCAACCCCACCTTCGTCCAGAAAGTGTGCAAGGAGTTGTGTTGTCACAGGGTGGGGGCTTCCGCAGCCCACCCTCGTGGGAAGAAGCAGCTTTTGCAGGATGGTGGCAGGGAGGAGGTGGTCATTAACACTCTGGATTTGGAGAGTCAGAGAAAACACCCGTCTGCTGGCACCGAGCTTAGACATAACATACCTCAAGTGCCGAGAACCCTGGTTCTTGGATATGTTCTGAGGTCCCAGGCCTTGGTGACGTTCTCCTCTGTGTGATTGCTCTGCAGATGTGTTTCGTGAAGCCACCACTGACTTCACAGTCGATTCACGGCCCCTGACACAGGTGGGGGGCGACCACATCAAAGCCCACGTTGCCAACCCCTCGGGGGCCTCTACCGAGTGCTTCGTCACGGACAACGCCGACGGGACCTACCAGGTGGAGTACACACCCTTCGAGAAAGGTGAGTTGACTTCTCCTTGGACACGACCATCATTCAGAGCTATGCCGGGCCATTTCCTTGGGTGACTGGTCCTATCTCCTGCCCCATGAGTCTGGCCTGTCTCAGCGAAGGCACGGACAGAGTGACAGGGACTTGTGGAAATCTCCCTCCCCAGCAGAGCCACTGAGCGCTCAGTGCCTGACAAGCTGGCCCTGGTGTGTGACAGACATTGCGGCCAAGGTTAGCCTCATGCTCCTCTGAGCAGCTTACGGCTGATGTCATGGCATAGTGCCCATTTGTATCAATTTTTTTTAACATAATTTATTTCTTAAAATTCTAGAAATAACTTGAAAGTTTGATAAATCTTGAAAAGTTAAAGGAAAAAATAAAAGCACTATATATTTTCATTACCTGGGTATATGATTCCTGTAAATATTCTGGTATAGACATAGTCAGTCTCTTCATGTAGATGCATGTATATTGTGTATCATGGATTTTCCTTTGTCTTTTGGCTAATGACGGGAGGAAGTTTTTCCAAAATCAGAATAGTGCGTTTAAGATGACTAACTTCAGTACAGACTTCGTGATACTTGCTTGGGGGAGAGGCCCTCTGCATATATATTCTCTGTTGGGGAGGGAGGGCTGTGTGGCTGCCAGGTGAACAGAAAGCATTAAATAAATAGGTACATTTTTTAAAAAAATCAGATCATACCAATATTGTACTATTTCTTTAATAACCTGCTTGTTTCCAGTAACACGGGATGGCGGGTTGATGTGAGCCCTAGTTGAAACCTGGCAGGAGAGTCTTTCTTTCCACAGGTAGGTGACTCTTGTGCATATAATTTCTGTTTGTCATTTTGAACAGGTCTCCACATAGTGGAGGTGACGTACGATGACGTACCCATCCCAAATAGTCCCTTCAAAGTGGCTGTAACCGAAGGCTGTCAGCCGTCTCGGGTTCAGGCCCAAGGACCCGGACTGAAAGAGGCCTTTACCAATAAACCCAATGTCTTCACAGTAGTTACCAGGTGAGCAAGGTGCTGGGGTCTGTGTGTTGACTCTGAAAGGAGTAACCCTGGGTGGTTTGTTTATTTATTTATTTTTCTGCCTTCTTGCTTTCTTTTTTCTTTTTTATTCAAATTCAGCTAATTAACATATAGTATATTATTAGTTTCAGAGGTAGAGGTCAGTGATTCATGAGTCTCATATCGTACCCAGTGCTCATTATATCACGTGCCCTCCTTCATGCCCCTATCTGAAGGGGTTGGTTTGGGCACCTGGGCAGCTCAGCCGGTCAAGCATCTGCCTTCAGCTCAGGTCATGATGCCAGGGTCCTGGGATTGAGTCCCACATCAGGCTCCCTGCTGAATGAAGGGCCTGCTTCTCCTTCTCCCTCTGCTGCTCCCTCTGCTTGTTCTCTCTCTCTCTCTCTTTTGAATAAATAAATAAAATGTTTTTAAAATTTCTTAAAAAAATAAGATTTGGGTTTTTTTTTTAATTTAAAGATTTTATTTATTTATTAGAGAGAGAGAATACATGAGTGGTGGGAAGGGCGGAGGGAAAAGCCGACTCCCCGGTGAGCAAGGAGGCTGATATGGGACTCAGTCCCAGGACCCTGAGATCACGACCTGAGCAGAAGGCAGGCACTTAACCGAATGAGCCACACAGGTGCCCCTTGAAAGGAGTTTTATGGGTATATTTTGCATATGTGTCCTGGTCTCCCAACTTTGGGAGGCTTTTTTTTTTTTTTTTTCATGGTGTAGGAGGCATTTGCTTTGTAGAGACTTTTATGCTATGGAGAGAGGGTGAGTATACCTCAGGAAGTACCAGAAACCCCTTGGTTACAGTCATAAGATGGCTAAGCAAACCAGAACGAGATGGCAGCTCCTTAACTTGATAATGCAGAAATGAACAGCCAGTTCCATGGTTAAGTGAAGTATTAGAAGTAGTCCTGCTAGAATGGGTCACAGATGCAATTAGATGTGAAAATGAAGGATAAGCATTGGAAAGGAGGGGTCGGAGCCGTCCGTCTATGACAACATTGAGAAATTTTCAGCAGTTGAGTCAGATTGGCTTCCTGGGATTATTTATAGAGAGATTTTAAGTAATTCTGGCAATAAGCAGACTAGCGTGAAGCGCTTGTCCCACTTCACTCTCTCTTCCACCCTTTCCAGAGGGGCAGGCATTGGTGGGCTCGGCATAACCGTCGAGGGACCATCAGAGTCCAAGATCAACTGCAGAGATAACAAAGATGGAAGCTGTAGCGCTGAGTACATCCCCTTTGCTCCGGGGGATTACGACGTTAACATCACATATGGAGGAGCCCACATCCCTGGTAAGCGATCCCACAGAAGTGTGCCCAGAGAGTAATGGATTCGGAATGAAAGCAGGTTTTGTCTCGCTCATGTCTGAGTGGGAAAGAGAGTCTGATACTTGTAGGAGGTGCAGAGGGAGAATTTCTCCTTATGGCTCTGTCTCCCAAGAATATCCCAGCTCCCAGTAGGACTGGTAACTGGCAAAACGCCTTGACTTGGCATTTGGACTAGAAATCATTCACGTGTTGGAGGACCCACTATTTAATTTAAGGGAGAGGTGTTTTGGTTTTTTTTTTGTTTCGTTTTTTTTACAAAGCTGAAAATCTCCACTTTATTTTGTGATTAGTTCTTCTTTACCTTATACCTGTTCTCTTATTTTCTGCTATTCGTGGATAGTGTAGACAGAAGAGACCCACAAACTCCAAATCTTATTTATTAATATCTTTTCTATTTCGTGATGTAGTATATACATTTGCTGTAAAGCAGGGTCTGTCAAGTGTTTGGCTGGCGCGGTCAGTGGAGTGTGCAACTCTTAATCTTGGGGTTTTGTGTTCGAGCCCCACATTGGGTGTAGAGAGATTACATAAAAATCAAATCTTAAAAAACAAACAAACAAACAAAAAAAAAAACCACAAAACACTAAGGTTTGTCCTCCTCAGCACCACTGATATTTTGGGTGGAATAATTCTTTGTTGTTGGGAGGAGGGGGGCTGTCCTGTGCATTGTAGGGCATTTAGTAGTATTCCAAACCACCCCCTTCATTTTGGGACAACCAAAAATGTCTCTAGATATTGGCAAGTGTCCACTCTGGGACAAAAATCACCTCTAGTTGAGAACCACTGCTATACTGATTGAAACAATGAGAAATACATGACTTAAGTAGCGAAGGGCCCTCCAATTTTCGTGCTTTAGGGGGAAGACTCTCCATTGGTTCTGGTCTGTTTATTTAATGAAACAGTTGCCATTCCGCACACATCTGGCTGGGTCGATGCCCTTATGGTGTGGACACAGGACCCTGGGGGCTGCCTCTGAGTCAGCCTATGCCTTGTCTTGGGTATGGTGAGAAAGGGGGCAGAACCCCATCCCAGGACTCCTGGGGCAGGAAGAGCCTCGAATGGGTCAGGGTTATTACCCCCAAAGCCATAAACCAGGATAACACTGGAAGGAACAGACTTGAGGAGCTTGCTTCTGGGTTTCTGGAATGACTCCAAGAAGCTGGAGTGTGTGCATTGACCAAACGCTTTCCTGAATCTGTAGACATTTCCTCCTTATGACATGCCTAAGTGCCCACAGACTCACTCTTCCTCTCCCATTGGTCAGAAAACCCAGACATTCAGCTCAAATGAATGCTACTCAGATATCATTTAAGCCTTAATTTTATGAAAGCTTAGATTTTTCTTGGAAGACTTTAAGAAAAACTAAATTGGTGAGTTTCTCTTCCAACTTGTCTTTGCGGCTGATCACAGATTTTTTTTTCTAAGATTTTATTTATTTATTTGACAGAGATCCCAGGTAGGCTGAGAGGCAGGCAGAGAGAGAGGGGGGAAGCAGGCTCCCCTCCAAGCAGAGAGCCCGATGCGGGGCTCGATCCCAGGACCCCGGGATCATGACCCAAGCCAAAGGCAGAGGCTTTAACCCACTGAGCCACCCAGGCGCCCCTGATCACAGATTTTTAAATCCCTATCAGCACTAGGCAAGGGGAATTCAGCCAGGGACAAGACAGTCAGAGCTCTTGTGCTCCGGTAACTTCCTGTCTGGTGTTGATGCAGCTTCTTGTGATGACTGCTACCAGGAAAGTACAGGACCCAGTGACAGAGGACAGGGCCATGGGTGTTGGGGGGAGCTTGGCAGTTCCGCAGTGGGAGGGACAGGAGAGGAGAGTGCAGAGGACAGGTGGAAGGCTGCTGTCTGGAAAGATGACGTGGTGGCTGCAAGCCCGCAGGTGGCATTGAGAAGAGCCTCTCTTCATGGAGACGACAACACTGTTCTTACTTCATTGGATGGTCTGGGTGATGCTTTCAGCTTGGGAATTCCCCTCGCAGAAGAGGGTGAGGGTTTGGACCCCAGTGCCTGACCCGGGAGCATGAAGCAGATGGCCATCTTTGAGAAGTCCAGTAAAAAGAGACCCATTTGGGGTTTTCTCATCAGAGGTAGATGATAGTCCATGTTTCAGATTCTCTGTAGCCGCTCAGAGCGTAATGACAGCTTCTCCCAGATCCCAGACCCTTCCCTGGGTGGTTAGTTAGTAAAGTGTGGGTTGGTTGTCTTAGTTTGGGCTTCTTAGTAAGTAAAGTAACTCGTGAGGTATTGCTGTGAAACACTCAGCAACCTGCTGGCTTCTCATTTGCTTTCATGGGAATTCTCATCAGTTAAACATTAGTCCAGTGTTTCCTGGCCTGGTGCAAAGCCCTAGCGGGGCTGTTTTTGACAAGGTTTGCTGTCCTCCCCACTATGGCATACTGGTGTCCCTTGCTGGGCCAGCTGTGGTCGGCCGGTGGTGGCTTTTAGATCAACTGGATCCACCAAAGCACATCAGGAGAGAGAGCCGCTGTGGTGGTTTTCGGTGTCTGCTTGGGGCCCGGAACGGGGTAGCAGGGAACGCTTGGTATCTGCCACCTGGGGTCTAAAGTTACCTTGCTAGTTCTGGCTGCCCTCATGCTGTGTTCAGACACCTTCCAGTGGAAGCTCTGACTTGGAGATCGGCCTCAGAGGTCGTCCATCACCACCACCTGCTGACACTGAAATGCTCTACCGTTCCCCTGTGACATGAAGCTCCCTTACGTTTGTTTCCCTAAACCCCACCCTGGAGGGTGATGTTTGTCTTGGCTGGGTCAGCCATTTATTTCAGTTAGCTGAAAAACTGGATGCCATCGAAACCCAGCTGTCATTAAAGAGCCAAGGCCTCTGTTCTTTGTGTGATCTTGTAATTTACCACCATATTCCACAACAGATGAATTTGGGGGGATGCAAAGCAGAAAACACCTGAGTTTATGTGTCAGTTAGAAGTCATTAATTTTGCCAGTCTCTTTGGGAGCACAAGGACCCCTGCTCACAGCAAGAGGTGCATGTTGCCCCTTGGCAATGGACTTGGTTGCCCAAGGAGGCATGGTGCTGGGGACCCTGAGGTTCCTGTTTCTAGCTCACCTCTGCAGAGGTCTTATTTAGTCCCCTTGGTGGGGGAATCCCAGGAGGGACCCTGGCCCAGCCCTAGTTATTCTCTTTAGTGCTTCTCTTGCAAATCCTGATCACACAGCATTTTCTGTTTCCTTCGATTTTTTTTTTTAAGACTTTTTTTATTTATTTGGGAGAGAGAGTGCGCAAGTGCACAGAGGGAGAGAGAGCCTGATGCGGGGCTTGATTCCAGGACCCTGAGATGGTGACCTGAACCAAAGACAGATGCTTAACTGACTGAGCCACCCAGGTGCCCCTGTTTACCCTTGGTCTTTAAAACCAGTACCCTCAAAGAGTCGGAGGCCCCCAGTGCCTCCTGTGGGGTCAGCCATGCAGGAGGACCACAGCTGACCTTGGTCAGGAGAAAGCAAAGCTTCACCCAGTGGCCAGGGAACCAAGCAGACCATTCGTGGTGGGAAGGAAGGAGCAGGCTACGTTGTAGGGGAAGGAATCCAGGAAGCCCTCAGGAGAGGTTTGGGGAGAGGGTATTAGATACGGGCTGGAAAGACTCCCAACCTCTGCAGCCCCCTGCACTCACTCCTTCCTTCCACCCCTGAGTGTCCTCCTTCAGCGTCTTCGACAGCTTGTGCTCTCCCTCCCCTCCAGGGCCCTGTACCCCCCCATCACTGTGCTTGAAACCCCCTCCATCTGCTTCCCTGGGTGCTATCTGCTCACTTTCTTGTCTCAGGTTAGTTGTCCCTGGAGAGCTTCCTCTGGCCCCCTGAAGACCAGATTCGTTGCCTTCTAAGTGTTCTACTGATGCTTGTACGTGGCCCCAGCCTCTGTTGAATGTGATGTCACAGCTTCCTGTTTGCCACCTTCTCCTGCGCTGTGGGTTCCTCCAGGGCCATGAAGCACTCTGGGCCCAGCTAGAGGCCCAAAGCTGCACGTGGTGGGTGCGTGTGTGTGCACACACAGCCAGGCAGGAGCTGTGGGGCAGTTGTGGGCACACACAGATGAGGCAGGTCATCTGTCACTAGGAGAGCTGTGCTCAGGATCCTGTGACTTCTTCTCCAGGCAGTCCCTTCAGAGTTCCTGTGAAGGATGTCGTGGACCCTAGCAAGGTCAAGGTTGCTGGCCCTGGGCTGGGCTCTGGTGTCCGAGCCCGCATCTCACAGTCCTTTACAGTGGACAGCAGCAAGGCCGGCCTGGCTCCTCTGGAAGTGAGGGTCCTGGGCCCACGAGGTGAGTGCGTCCTGCCAACACTCTTCGCCACAGGTGAGGGCAGCCATGACCCAGTGGGTACTTGACTTTTGAGTTTGGTCACGAACTTTAAATTAAATTGCTAAATTACTTTATTGCTCCGTATTCTAGCTAAACAGGAGAAGCGCCTGCTTTTATTTACTTATTTTTAAATATTGTATTTATATATTTTGAGAGAGACAGAGTGTGCGCATGCATGCTCACATGTGCACACTTGTGAGTGGAGGGGGAAGGGCAGAGGCACAGGGAGAGGCAGAATCTCAAGCAGACTTGTGCTGAGCACGGAACATTCTCGTGACCTGCAATCAAGACCTGAGATGAAACCAAGAGTTGGATGCTTAACCAACTGAGCCACTCAGATGCCCCGAAGCTGCTTTTAGAAAGCAGGCAGACCTCCTATTTCTCTAGTGGTTTCTTCCCCCATTTAATAATATGCCTCTAAATGTCTTTTTCAGTTTTCACTTAAGGAGTGAGATGAGGCAAATAGTATTTGTGCTCTCATATGCATGTGTCAGCCTTTGTGAGGTGACTGAGGTCTGGAGTTTGGGTGGGCGATGGGTTTAGAGGTGATAACTCTTTGAGGTGCCTTGGTGCCCATGTGCAACACACCCCAAATTTCTGGAAATGACAGATACGTAACCCATGTGACATGGCTTTTGTCATTGTCCCCACTTCCTGGAGGGAGAGGGTCTCTTGGGAAATGGCCTTTGTTGACAAGTCAGCCTGCCCTGTTGGCAGCCTAGAACTGGGGTTTGGTATGACTAGCAGGCCATTTTGGGACAAAGCCCTGCAGTGCATTGAAATTTACCTTATTTGGTAGGCAATCACATTTCCTCTTCCGGCACTGAAAATGTGCCATTCTCTCCTTAATTTCTTAAGTTATCTGGATTTTTCCCTGGTGATGTGTTCTTGGCTTTATAGACATAGCAAATGGGGGCATCCTTCTTTGAAGAGGAACTTTCTACTTAATGGGGTTCAGCAGGAGGTTATGCCTTTTGAAGCTCAGGGCAGATGTGGTTTGAGGGAAATGAGGTCATGGGGCTGGAATCTGATTCTGCATAGTTACTGAGCTTTAAGACCTGTGTGTGTGAGAGAGAGAGAGAGAGAGAGAGACGGAGGGAGGGAGGCTTTACTTAGATATCTGCTCCTATTATATTATTATGGAGGACTCGGAAGTAACAGCCTTTTAATTTTAGCTGATGAGATGGATTCCCAGTCTTGGCGCAGCCCCTTGAAAGCCATTTCAGAGTTCTTTAAAGGTGACCCGAAGGGTGACTTTATGGAGACAGGTTTGCATTTTCCTATTGGCTGCTGCTCTAATTATGCTGAATGCCTCTTGCTGTCCTCACCCCCAAAATTACCTGGTTCCTGCCTCATCTGCTTTGCTTAATGAGCAGCCTACCCTCAATCTACCCATCCCCGATGCTCATGGCCAGAACTGGGATCTAGAATCTACCAACGCAATGCATGCCTTGATTATGTTTTAGCACAGTCTCTAGCTGACCCCTGTAGGCATCACTTTGAAGATCCCCCCCGCCACCCCGCCATGGAATGGGCACCCTCACCTGCCCTGCACCTAACACTCAGTCTGCTGGCATCCTACTGGTCTGTGCTCTAGGTGGCCATCCATTTGCTTGGCCAGTCCATTGGTTAACTCCTCAGAGTTGTGGGCTCTTTGGCCCTTCCTCTGCTATAGAGTAAAATTGCCACATCCCAAGCATGCCTCATCAGCTTGGAAGGGGATAGCTTGCCTGCAACATGGATCTTCACACAAGCATGGCAGTCTCCTTAATTGTACTCGAGGGTCGACTGAGTGTACTTTAGCCAGCAGAAAGCTAAAGGTGTCTCTTGGGGTCATTTCTGCAACCATGAATTGGGGATCCTGTCTCCTGTGATTTCTTGGGCCACTGATTATGGCCTCCCCTGCCTTTATGTTTCTCCTCATTGGAAACCAATAGGTCTTGGGATGAATGTGATCCTATTTCAAACTCAGCCCAGGGTAGAGTGAAAGAGAGTCTACGCAGTTCCTCAGATGTCTCATTTCTGTTCTCAGGCCTGGTGGAGCCGGTGAATGTAGTGGACAATGGGGATGGCACACATACGGTGACCTACACGCCATCCCAGGAGGGGCCTTACATGGTCTCAGTAAAATATGCTGATGAAGAGATACCTCGTAGGTAAGCTTCTGACACTTACAGAAGGGGGTCCGAACCAGCCTGAGCTCCAGCCCTCTGAAGGTTTGGCCAGCACTGTCCTGGTGACCCATTCATCCATTCATTTATCCAACTACCCATCCATCCATCCATCCATCCATCCGTCCGTCCGTCCATCCGTCCATCCATCTGTCCATCCATCCATCCATCCATCCGTCCATCTGTCTATCCAACCAACCATCCATCTGTCCATCCATCCATCTATCCGTCTTTCCAACCAACCATCCATCCATCCATCTACCCATCTATCCTCCCTCTACCCACCCAACTTCCTCATTAGCAAGTATCAGTGAGAACCTGCAGGCTATCGGTGCACGGGTGTTAGAACATACTAGCCTTGATACCTGTGGCTGCTTCTCTCTTGATATCCTGTATCCCCCTGCTTTGTTTCTTTTGGCCATATTTAGTTTAAAGATGAGCTGAAATTAAGCAGTTGGGAATCTTTGAAGAAACAAGGAATGTGTTATTTCATCAACGTCTTCTTTCTGCTGACCTTACAAGTAGTTCTCTGATGAGAGCAAAGATTTTTACTTTTTTACTTGTTTACTTGAGGATTTGGTTAACAGTATGTTCCTGGATGGTATTGGATAGAAATGTCATTCCTCATTCACATTAATATGAAATGTTGCTATGCTTTTCCTCTGTCAGGACAGCCTCCAAAGGATTCTTTTCATACTCCTTAAGATGAAAAGAATTTACCCAAACCCCAATATATGTTATATATAGAGATACACATATAGCTCTAGGTATGTAGAAATATATAACTTATAAGTTACATTTATGTATTACTTTGCTAATAGGTAGTTCGCCACCTAAAGCATGCTAAAAATAGAAGAGGATGAGATAAGACATTAATTTCATTATTCCAACATTGTTTCCTAATTCCAACAGTCCCTTCCCATTTTGGTGACCATTTTCTTAGCATGACAAAAGCGAGTTAACTGTGTCTCCCAAACCAAGTTGAGGATTAGTGTGTATCCCATGGTGTGCATTCAGGGAAAGCATATGATGGTTACATGCTTGTAAATTTCTGTTAGACTTAAGGTACGTAAGGCATTCACTGTCTTACCTTCTGTAGAAATCCTCCCTCTCAAGCCCAGTCTCTTTGTGTAAGAGAGATCGACTGTAGCTGGTTGATGGTATTGGCACTCACCCGGGATGTGTATGTGTCTTTCAAGTCCCTTCAAGGTCAAGGTCCTTCCCACATATGATGCCAGCAAAGTGACGGCCAGTGGCCCTGGCCTCAGTTCCTATGGCGTGCCTGCCAGTCTGCCTGTGGAGTTTGCAATTGACGCCAGAGATGCTGGGGAAGGCCTGCTTGCTGTTCAGATCACGGTAACTTTGAGTTATTTTCTAGAGTCAAATTTGATTAATGAAGACCTAACTTCCTGGTCAGGGATAAGAATAAGATTTTAATAACCAATTTCTGTCCTGAGGCAAATGTTTGATGATCCCCTCCACCCCCCACCAGAGAACCAGTCATTGTGTAAGAAAACAGACATGCTTGCCTGAATGAGAGGTCTAAAGGTGTAGCTCCAAGTACCACATTTGGATGAATCTCGTGTACTTTGATCTCTATTCTGTCTGTTCCTCTGCTTTTGTTTTAAAATGTTTTAAATTACTCATCAGATTAGTTAAGACTAGGTTGCGCTGTATATCACAATACCCCCGCAAATGAGAGTGGCTCCGACCCGTGGGATTAATCTCTCTGGTGAAGGAAGCCCGGAGGCAAGCCGCCTGGGTACTGTGTGGCTCGGCAAGGAAGCCGGCTCCAGCTCTCCGCTCCTTGGTCCTAGCATGTGGCTTCTGTCATGAGGTTTCCTCGTGGACCAGGAGCTGATGCATGTGGCAGGCCACAAGGAGAAGGAAGGGCAGAAGGGGAAAGGGGACCTTCAACTCAATCAGCAGTCAACCAGCTCTGGGTGACTTCCACTTCCCTCTCATTTACTGGAACTTTGTCACAAGTCCCAAGGCCATACCTAGGGGCAGAGCTTGCTAGCAAGTGGGAGCTGCTCCCAGGCAAGGACTGGGAATTTTTTACTAAAGGGAAGAGGGAGAGTGGATGTGGTGATACAGGAGCAGGGACCTTGGCCCCCTTGTCTCCCTGCATTTGGTTGGATTCAGAGCTGAATCAGTTCTTGTTTACTTGACCGTAGAATTCCTAAAAATTGACAATGTCCGTAGGGTGTGACCTACTCCCCTCCCTGCCCCCCCCCAAAAACAAGATTATAATTAAGATTGTGTTAAGCCATTAATTCTGTCTCCTCTGGAATAGAGGCACCAATGAATAAGCAAAATGTGTCTTGTTTTCCCATGAGTGGTCTCTACATCTTGATGACAAAACCCTAAATAGCATTTCTCGGTGCTTCACAGGACCAAGAGGGAAAACCCAAAAGAGCCATCGTCCATGACAATGAAGATGGCACATACGCCGTCACCTACATCCCTGACAAGACTGGACGCTATATGATTGGGGTCACCTACGGGGGGGATGACATCCCATTGTCTCCCTACCGCATCCGGGCCACACAGACGGGAGATGCCAGCAAGTGCCTGGCCACGGGTGAGTGTGGGCTTTGGAGTCAGAAAGCCAGGGGCCAGCCCTTCTCTGCCACTCAGTGGCCGTGTGGTTAGGGCAAGTTGCTCAGCCACTCTGAGCTTCGGTCAAACTTAGATGGAAGCTCTTTTCTCAGAACATTTGAATTCAAGAAACTCTTCTCGGGATCAGAGACTGTTTCACAGGGTTATTGCAAAATTATATGAAGTCAGGCAGGAGAAATGCTTAGCACGGTGCCAGGCACATGGAAGCTATTACTATGTTACTTTTGAAGTGGGTGCCTTTGTGGAGATCTCACCTGTGGTGGTAAGTCCCATGAAAAGCTGCAAATATATGCCTTTCCTTTCAGGAGGAGATGGTTTAATTTTTCAAGATTTATTTGAGAGCATTTCAGGTCAGCATTAGAGAAATGCATTCGAGGATCTGGGTTTTTCCTCAGCACTTCAGCCTGTGCCTACGTCTCTCAGAATGTCTCCAGAAATATTTGAACATCACACTTCCTTCAGTTTCTGAGACGCAACCGAGACCATCACAGGCCCTTCATTTCTAAGAACAGCTCTTGTTACCGTGACACTGTTCCAGCAGATTTCAAAACATGAATCCCCATCTCTGAAATGAAACAGATTGGCTTCTCTTTAAATTCAGCGTAGGTCCAACCTGGATGTGTTCTGTTTCTGTCATATCTTAGCTTGTTCTGAACGGAGGAAAAATTTCTGGCTTTTAGAGGAAGTTGTAAACTGCTCAGCTTGGCAAATTGGGGCTCAAACGCTGGGAAATTTTGAACCACTGGCCAATCCAATCCACCACCTCCTAGGTCTGTGCTATCTGCCAGGAACGACTGGATTGCCTTGACCAACCTGGGGCATGATAATACTGGGTGGGGACTGACTCCTTGCTCTCCAGGCTCTGTTCAGGATCCTGAACAGGATACTCGCTCATCCTGGGGGCTCCAGGAGGCCAATGTTCTCTGTAGTTCAGGGCCTTCCACAGACTGGCCCCAGGCTCTGTTCTACTATTCCCACCCTGAACAATATGTTTTTAGCATTCCCTGTTGCTTCTACACCCTTTGCTTTTTTTATTTTTTCCCCAACATGCTTTTTGGTTCACTCATCTGCACTCCCTGATGTGTGGAACCTGTGTAAAGGGTGCCCCCAGTCAGACAGAGAGAGACGGGTCATGGTTCGGGGACAGAGGTGGTAAGTTTCCTCTAGCCAGCCGTGCCTATGCTTCAGAATCAGCCATTCCCCTTTTCTCGCCTCCGTCAGTGTGGCAATGCTGGGATACAAAGTCCTAGAACTTTCTTTATAGAGATGTGCTATGGGACACTTCTCTAAAGCACGGCTGACTGTTTTTTCTGTAACTGAGTGTTGCCACAGCACATTGAGCCATCGTTCTTGGTGCCTGGTCTGCAAACGTCTGCCTGTTCATAATGAACAGCTGACAGCAGAGACCATGTGTGGTTCAATGTTGTGTGTACCTGGCCCTCAGGGAAGTGCCCATTGTACGTCTGCTTGCAGAAGTTGACCATCCCCTCTGACCCCTGAATGCCAGCAAGCTGGGTCTGACATCGGTTGACACTCCCAGCTTGTCTCTTAAGTACTAGAGTGCCCCCCCGCAAGGGAGCAGCCCCTTCCTCCAACCCCCAGGGGTCTCCAGGACCACCCTGTGTGTGGTGGCCGTCGAAGATCTGGCATGGACAGATGCGGACCCTGCACCAATGCGTGCTTTGTTCTGGGGTCCCCAGGGCAGCTCTCTGTGGCTGGAGCTTCTAGTCTCTTCTCCGGAACTGTTCTCTAGGTCCTGGAATTGCCTCCACCGTGAAAACCGGCGAGGAAGTGGGATTTGTGGTGGATGCCAAGACCGCTGGGAAAGGGAAGGTGACCTGCACGGTTCTGACCCCCGACGGCACCGAGGCTGAAGCCGACGTCATTGAGAATGAGGATGGCACCTACGACATCTTTTATACAGCCGCCAAGCCAGGCACCTACGTCATCTACGTGCGCTTTGGCGGCGTCGATATCCCCAACAGCCCCTTCACTGTCATGGTAAGCCGCATTCCTTCCCTAGAGCGCCCTGGTCTGACAGAAAAGCTAACAGCTGCCATCTGTTAAATCCTGGCTAGAACATCCCCTTCCACTTTTTTTCCTTTAAAAATTTTTTCCTAAGCAGTCATGACCTTATTGAGTCCTAGAGTAACCTCTAGAAATCCGGAGGCTCTTGGCTGTTAGAGTTTTTAAGGAATCTTATTAGCCATCGAAGTATCCATCAGGCTAAGGGTCTTAGGCAATGTCCTGGCCAAAGCCCAGTTCAGAAAGATATACTCAGACCAAAAAAAAAAAAAAAAATGCGTGTAAGTAAGACAGCACAATTTTTTATTCTGCTAGCTTTTCCTCCTCCCTCCTCCCTCATCTCCATGGCCTGGAGGAGAGAGGTTCCTGATGCCTTTATGTCTGGAGACTTGACCCATATCCCCGGGACACAAAGTGCCTCCAGTTTTGTTTGGGAAAGACAGAGATTTTGCATAGACCTAGGAAATAGGAACATCTAGAAGAAAGGGACACCTATTATGGGTCAGAACGGTGAGGTTCCTTAGTTTTCAACAAGTGACTCTTGGACTCTCCTCTGATAATGGAGGTTCTTCAATCAGGACAAGATTAGAAACCTCATTTGACCCTTAAAGCCAAGCATCATTGGCCCTCTTGCAGGTGAGGTGTGGGAACAGGGCCCAGATTCAAGTTCACGGTGTCCAGCGTGCCTGCTGTGGACAGCCACTGAGGGCCCCTTACATGGTGTCCTTTGATGCCATGGGCAGCAGCCATGCTTGACCACAAAGTCTTAGGCCTCAGTGACCTAGCCCCACGCACAGGCTGTGGAGCCCCTTCTGATGATTTCACTTCGTGCATCAACAGAGAAGGGACCCTGTTCCAAACAGAAGCCTGTGCCATGCCTCCTTCCAAGCAGTCTCTCGTTTGTTGTAGCTTTTTTCCCTTTCCATAGATGTTTGTTTATCTGTAAACATCCTGGCAGAGATCTGGAGGATCTTTTTTGTCTCAAGGATGTAAGCGCCGCTCAACTTGGACACTTCATTTGGGAGTGTTCTCCTTTGAAGGCAGAAAGAAATGAAGCTAGAGAGTTTCTGTCGTTCTTACTTCCCGAGAAGGGTCCCAGCTGTAATTTTAAGAATCTGTTTTAGTCTATAATGGGTTTTATGGGGTTGATTGGAACAGGGCATCGTGGAGGAGCGGCCCCCGGGCAGAGGTCGTGGCCTTGCAGGTGCAACAAGCGGGTCTGAGTGAGAAAGTCAGTGTGGAAATATCAAGGGCCATTTTAGCTGCTGAGTCCGGGACCTGAAGTGGGGGCCACCAGATTCACTGGGAATAAATGTCCCCTCAGCTGGGAGGTCACCTCTAGTACCTGGTTTGTGTCTTTATTCTTCCATTCCAAGCTTTCTCTAGCCTTACCCAGGTGGACTTTCTCTACACGTGGATTCCCTGCCTCCCTCTATAGACTTGTGGCCAGAAGGACACAAGCACCCAGTACTGCCTTCAGAGCTCTTGTCTCAAGGAGCCCCAGCAGGCTGGTTCAGTTAAATAGATCACACAGCCACAGGTCTAGCAGTGTTTCTGCTCATCTTGTCCCCGTTGAGAAGTCCTGGGTCAAAGGCCATAGAGTGGCCATTGAAAGATCTTTGACTAGTGTGTCCCTGCATAGCTCCACCATGAGAAAGCCCTAGGAGGTGGGGGTAGGGCTGTTCCAAATGGTGAAGCTCTCTTTCTGCAGATGCTGAAATACACAAAGAGGAGTGAAGCAGGCATGTTGGCCTTCCTCCCAGCGGGAGGGCCTTTCAGTTCTTGCTGTTGATGATGGGAGAAGAGGGGGATCCCTCCCTTACCAGGTCGATTGGATCAGGAATGTGAAGTCTGTGGTTTAAAAAAAAAAAAAAAAAGAATTTATAAAGACTTTTAAAACATAAATACCACGGGCACTTATCAAGTAACAGGAAACCTCTTTCCCAGTTTTGTGCTGCAGAAAGGACTGGTGTTCCTTTTTCGCTGTTGGCATGACAAAGCCATCAGCTTTGTGCACGGGGCGCCTCCTACCCAGTGCTTTACAACTTGTCTCGGTCCCTCCGAATGTCAAAGGTACCCTTCCCCTTTCATTCATCAGACTTCGTAGCTTTTTCAAGTACAGGTTTGCAAAATTAGCAGACTCCCTGGCAGGTGTTTTAGGTACCTCCAAGTTCTCAGGACCACAAGCAGCCCGAGTAAAGAACCCCGCACGTATCACTACAGACTCTCCAGCTAGCATTTCTCTGGGCCGGCTTCCTAGAAGTGGGGTCATGGGTTTCAAGGGCATGTGGATTTGACATTTGAAGGAAGGATGCCGGCTTGCTCTCCACAGAGCGAGGAAGGTTGTAGGCTCCCGATAGAGCAAGTGGTTCCTGCTGTATGAGACAGAGCCCTTGGGGAGGAAGCGGTCCTCAGGTTGTAGGACCCACTAAAGTAGCAGTGTCCCTTCCATGTGATTCCCGACTAATCTCCATTTGCCACCAACCAGGCCACGGATGGGGAAGTCGAGGCTGTGGAGGAGGCTCCGGTAAATGCCTGTTCCCCCGGATTCAGGCCCTGGGTACACTTTTTTTTTTTTTTTTTCCCCCTTTTGGCATTTCTGTGTTTACTCAGCCTTCATTTCAGAAAGCTGCAGCCTGCTTCTGGGGATTGCTTAAGCCCTCTGGGTGTCCTGGTCATTGGTATGCCCCCCCCACTGATCAGTCCGTCACAATGATCCCCCGCTTCCTCTATAAAGAGACCCACCTGTGTCATCGTCTGCGCTCCACGAATCTCCAGCCGTCATGTCTGTGATCACGCTCGGTGTCATTTGTCTCTGCGGTTCGGAGAAACGGACTGTCCTAAGCCCTCCTGCTGACTCGCACAGCCGCCCCTCGCACAGTTGGTTTCTGTTCAGGGGAGAGCCACCCGCTGCTACTTTCTGCCACCTAAAACGCACCTTCTTTTCCAGGCCACAACTAAACCTTTCCAGGTGGAGCCCTTGGCACCCACAGACATTGCTCTCTCTCACTTTCCCATTCCCCCGTGAGCCCTGCTGGGAATTCTGCAAGCAGAGCACCTAGCGATCGTTAGCAATTGGTCAGCATGACTTCTCCAGTACCCCAGGCTCTGCTTTGGCCCCGGGGTGTTAGACAGAGGCCATCCCACGTGGACGGCAGCCACACCCCCAGATCGCGGCTACACTGGCTTGCAGGATTCCCAGCTCTCTGCCCTCTGTTGCTTCATCAGCCCACACCATGGTCCGCTCTACCCAGTGACGACTGCTTCCTGTTTTTAGGTGACCGAAGAGGCCTATGTCCCCGTGAGTGACATGAACGGCCTGGGGTTCAAGCCTTTCGACTTGGTCATTCCGTTTGCGGTTAGGAAAGGGGAAATCACCGGTAAGCACAGTCACGAAAGCCACCTTGTTCTCCCTGGATTGCATTAGCTTTCCAGAACGTTGCCCGGGAGGTGGTCCCACCTGTCCCTGATACCTGGCATCCTGAACCCGGCATCCCTGTTTCCTGCTATAGGGAATTGTTCCATGAGCCCCAAGACGGCAGAATGTTCACTGTATATATGTGTGTCTCTGAAGGGGCTGCTTCGTTTAGGACTTGCATTACATCCTAGAGAAGGCCAGGCACTCTATCCAGGTTACGAACTGCTGTATTTAGATACCTCTCGACTGTCAGGTTCCTGTCCCACCTTTCTTCCTGCCTTGTCTTACTCGCACACCTTTCCAGAGGTGACATTCATACTAAAGTCTCTTGTACAAGCCTTCCTTTCTCTCCCAGCCTCCTTTTAATGCCCTTTTCTCTTTGAGCTGACTCTGCTACTGGCCTCATGGTCTTTTCTAGTCTAGTTTGAGCTTCTCACTTGCAAGTACAAAGGTAGAAAACTCTTTACTGGTGTTGCGTGCTGCATTTTGTGGAAGGAAAAGGGAACAAAATAAAGGTAGACATGTCTCTGTTTTCCTGTTGTCCTTGTCCTGTCTTGGACGCTTTAGGCAGCAGGGAGTGCCGTCGGATCTGAAGGCCACCTGTGCCTTTGCACTGAGCTTCTCCAGGGGAAGTGCCTGGGGGGCTCATTGCCCTGTCTGCCCGTGCTCCCGCAGGAGAGGTCCACATGCCTTCCGGGAAGACGGCCACACCTGAGATTGTGGACAACAAGGATGGCACGGTCACGGTCAGATACGCCCCCACTGAGGTCGGGCTGCATGAAATGCACATCAAATATATGGGCAGCCACATCCCTGGTGAGTCGGGCTCTGCACCTGGGCAGCATGCCCACAGGACGGCGTGTCAGAGGGTGTGCTGGGAGAAGATGTGAGGCTCCCGGGGGGACTTTCCAGCCTGGCTTGCAGAGCCTGGTGTGGTGTGGGGGTTTGGGGCGGAAGGAGAGGACAAGATGCCTTATGTTCACACTGACCTTGACAAGGAAACTCAGCTCAGATTTCATGTCCATCAACCAACACAGTGTTATTCTTGTTCTTCTTCTTTTTTTTTTTAAATGTTCAAATAGTTTTGTTTTTTAATTTAATACTTTGAGTAGGCAACATATCCACATGGCTTAAAGAATGTTACGGAGAAAGGTTTCCTTCCTGCCTGTATCACCCACCTGACCTCTCTTCGATCTTGACTGCTGTTAACTCTTTACATGGGACTTCAGAATATTTTTAAGACTCTACAGACAAATGAGAAATACGGATTCTTAAGCCCTTTCCCATTCATGCATTAATAGCAAAGTCTGCACATCATTTTGAGCTCGTCCTTTTCCATCTGACGGAGTATCTGGGAGAACTTTGTGCTCCCAATGATAGAGCGTGTTTGTGATGTCACACTGTTGGGGTGAGCATGGTATATTCCACCATTACCCTCACTGGAGGACATTGAGGGTCTCCCCTGCCTTTTGCTGTCATTAGGCAGCAGTGAATAGCCTTTGTATCCATCATTTCACACTCACAAAGGTATAGCTATGAGGTTTAATTCCCAAGGCACGTATTGTGGCCACAGGTAAAGACAACTGTCATTTTTAAGAATTATTTTTATTAACATATAATGTATTATTTGCCCCAGGGGTGCAGGTCTGTGAATCATCAGGCTTACACCCTTCACAGCACTCACCATAGTGCGTACCCTCCCCAGTGTCCATAACCCCGCTCCCCTCTCCACACCCCCCACCCCCCAGCAACCCTCAGCTTGTTCTGTGAGACTGAGAGTGAGACAACTGTCATTTTGATAGATCTTGACAAATTGTCAAGACAGATCTTGACAGTTGCCTCCCCTCATCCACACATGCACCAGCAAGGTAGATGAGCACCTGCTTTCTACCAGGTTTTGGATCTTTGCCAGACCATTCAGAAAAACAGTATCTCTGTGTTTCTTTGTATGTCTCTTGCAAATGAGACTGAGCAACTTTCTATATGTCTAAGTACCGTTTGTATTTCTTTCTCTGTGAACTGAGCGCTTGTTTCCTTGGCCAGGTTTTTCTCTTGGGTGATTGGCTTTTGTCATATCACTTTCTGAGAGCAAATTAAATACTGGAGAGATTAGTCCTTTGTGATAGAAGTCGCAAATATTTCTCCAGTTTGATGTTTGCTGTAGTTCATACATACATGTGTGCATAATATTTATTTAAAGCAAAAATATGTTATCTGCTTGTATCTAAATATTCTAAAGATGCAGATACAGAGAAAGTAAAAAAATGTCTTTCTCTTTCCCTTTTACTACCACTGCTGAGGTGTGAGTCTTTTCAGATGTTTCTCTCTGTGCCTACAAAACATGCAACATGGTTTTTTTTTCTTCAAAGAAATGAGATAATGGTATTAATATTATACAGCAGCTTGTCTTTTAAACATGACATGTTATGAATAATCTCTCAAGTTAATACACACAGATCTCCCTCTTTTTTTTTTTTTTTTTTTCCTTTTTTTGGTAAGAGAGTGCATGTGCCTGCATGTGGGCAGGCAAAGGTGGGGAGGGGCAGAAGTCGAGGGAGAGAGAATCTCAAGCAGGCTCCACGCTCAACATGGAGCCAGACACAGGGCTGAATCTCAGGTATATATATGCCCTGAGCCGAAATCAAGAATCAGACGCTTTGAGCCACCCAGGCTCCCCTTTACTCATTATTTTTAACGAACTGCCAGTAGACCCATGTTTACTTAACTGGCCCCCTGTTGTTGGACACTGGAGTCTTTTCCTAACTTGGATCTGAGCACTATGGAAGTGGAAGTCCTTGGACAGGGCTGGGTCTGAGGTGTGGGATAGATTACTAGGGCCCTCATAGGACCTTACATTTTGAAAGGGGCAGCAAATGGCCTTCCCAAAAGACTTCTCCAGTTGTGTTCCATCCAGTAGTGAGTCATTTCTTCACATGGTCAGCTGTTTCCTCCCTTATTGGTCAACCTTTGGGATTGTTTTTCTTGTGCACTACAAGTAGACCCTTTGGGTATCCCAGTGTGGTCAGCTCTCCTGGAGTCTCCTTTGGATTTCTGCCCCTGTGTGGGAGACCCCGCCCTTGCCTGCTGTTAAGGGGAATGTTAAGACACTGGGTGTCCTTGGGGCGCCTGGGTGGCTCAGTGGATTAAAGCCTCTGCCTTCGGCTCAGGTCATGGTTCCAGGGTCCTGGGATCGAGCCCTGTATCAGGCTCCCTTGCCGAGCAGAGAGCCTGCTTCCCTCCTCTCTCTCTGGCTGCCTCTCTGCCTACTTGTGATCTCTGTCTGTCACATAAATAAACAAAATGTTCTAAAAAAAAAAAAAAAAGACATTGGATATCCAAGAGATGCATGCTCCCCTCAATGAGTCCCCCTTGATCTTGTGTTCTTTGCCAACCCAGAAAGCCCGCTCCAGTTCTATGTGAACTACCCAAACAGCGGGAGCGTTTCTGCATATGGTCCTGGCCTGGTGTATGGAGTGGCCAACAAAACCGCCACCTTCACCATCGTCACCGAGGATGCAGGAGAAGGTACTGTGTGGTCTCTGTGGGTTTTGCGCTTCCGGCCATCCGTTTGGAGAGTCAAGTAGATACAGTTCTGGGACAGCTTTAAAAATTAGACTGCTGAGTGGTAGCATTTGTCTTGTCTTTTCTCCTCCATCTCTTCTATAGAGCTGCTCTGTCTTCACCCAAGGCAGAACTTTTGAGGTCCTTTGTGTTCTGATGGAAATCAGTTTGATGCTGTGAGATGTTTTATGGGACTTGCCTGAAATTTAAGCATGTTTTTTGGTAGATGATGTTCTTCTTTTGTTCTTTTTTGCATGTGTACATGTATCTAGAAGACTGCCTGAGTTATTGCCCATTCCAGATAAAGCTCCATGCCTATGCCCCTTGTCACCATGGAGACTTCTCAGTTTGTGGTCCTTTTTTGAAGATTTTCTTTTTAAGTAATCACACCCAACACAGGGCTCAAAATCACAACCCCAGGATCGAGAGTCACATGCTCTGCTGACTGAGCCAGTCAGGTGCCCCTAAATGTGTGGTCCTTACTGGATTTTCATGATGGCACCTGGTGCCCCACCAGCAGGAACAGCCTGTGTGTGGCTCCCCTATATGTGTGACTCGTGTACTGGCCTCCTTTCACGTCCCATGTATCCTGAAGAATAGAGAGGTCTTAAAGGTCACTTGTAGTGAAGAATTCAGCTGGTGAAGTGTCTTTCCAGTGGGCGGATTTGGCATGTCATTTGCTTTGCTCTGACATGCCCCTTGGTGGCCCATGTGGCATGCATCAGCCTCTTGTTCCCAGCACTGGGACCACCCTGGATGAGTTGTGATCTCTGTTGAAACAAGGGAACACACTCTCTCTAAGGGCTCGCCCTCCTTCCTCCCATCTGCAGGTGGCCTAGACTTGGCTATCGAGGGTCCCTCCAAGGCTGAAATCAGCTGCATTGACAACAAAGATGGGACATGCACAGTGACCTATCTGCCTACCCTGCCAGGGGACTACAGCATTCTGGTCAAGTACAATGACAAGCACATCCCTGGCAGCCCCTTCACAGCCAAGATCACAGGTAGGATTACCTGGCTCCTTTGGGGGGTAGGGGTGTGGGAGAGGCTGCCTATGGGGAGGTGTGGCTCCCTGGACAGCCCCTCTCTCCATCAGACCCGTGGCAGTAGGCTAGGCATCTAAGTGTAGATTCTACTTCCAGACTCCTTGGGGAGGAATTGAGGTGCAAAGTCAACTTTGGGCTGGCCCAGTTCCTTCAGTAGCTGGTAATCCAAGGGAGAGCCCACAGTATCCTTCAGACGGCCCTTGTTTGGTGCTAGTCGGGCCACAGCATGCTGGTAGCAGGCCCTCAGGTAGAGGCATTCACATACTCCATGATTCACGTAAATACATGAACTCGAAGATACCCTTCAGCATCACTACTGGATAGATTTCCTATCCATTTTATGGATGGAAAAACTGACACCGGGTGAGATAGTGACTTAGCCAAATTCATACGTGGGTGTTCGGGGACTCAGACCCAGGTTATCTTGATTCAAAGCCCACACTCCCAGTGTCTGTTGTGCTGGCTGTGTTTGTATCATGCTGTCAGGAGGTTATAAAGGAGATAGGAAAGGCGAGGTTCTTGACCCTGAGGTGTTCAGACCTATCCATGGGCAGTCAGCGGTCCCACGTGGAGCATGAGGAATGTGTGCCTGAGGAATGTCCAAGGTAGGAGGTGACATGTGCCTCCTGCTGGCAAAGACGCCTTTCAAAAGGCGTGAAGCCTCAAGTCTCTTGCCCATTCCCAGACACCATCAGCCAGCACTCATCGTTGGTTAGGTCTGCTCATGGTCCCAGACAGGCTTTTTCACTGAACTCTGAGTAACTCATTCTCCGTGCTCCTGCGTAAACGGTGTGTGGCTGGGGAGACCACACGTAACCTGAGCTGCACGGTGGGGGGACTGTTTCCCAGACGACAGCAGACGCTGCTCTCAGGTGAAGCTGGGCTCTGCCGCGGACTTCCTGCTCGACATCAGCGAGACAGACCTGAGCACCCTGACGGCCAGCATTAAGGCACCCTCTGGCCGCGATGAGCCCTGTCTCCTCAAGAGGCTGCCCAACAACCACATCGGTGAGCCCAGGCTGCCTTCCTGGCTGGGGCTGGGGCTGGGGCGGGGGATGGGGGGGTGGGGAGGATGGGCCTTCCCCCAGTCCCGTCCTGGGGACCCAGTAGCACACGAGAGCATGAAGCTGGGTCGCACATGCTAAGAGTCCGAGTGTGTTTCTGCATTGAGCTGTTGACCATCCCCTTAGACACTCTGTACTGCTAGAAAGTCAGGAAGGAAGTCCATTTCCATTCCTGCAAGTGTGTGTCCCTCCTGCTTCCTCTCTTTCATCCCGTCTCCCGACCTTACCAACCCCAGTCTATGCTCCGGTGCAGGCATCTCCTTCATCCCCCGGGAGGTGGGCGAGCACCTGGTCAGCATCAAGAAGAATGGCAACCATGTGGCCAACAGCCCCGTGTCCATCATGGTGGTCCAGTCCGAGATCGGTGATGCACGCAGAGCCAAAGTCTATGGCCGTGGCCTGTCGGAGGGCCGGACTTTCGAGATGTCTGAATTCATCGTGGACACAAGGGATGCAGGTGTGTGGAGACGTTCCTGGGGAAAGGCTTGTGGGAATGGTCTTCTTTTTGCTCAGGCTGCTTGTCTTTTCATCCTACCACCTCCCCTTTCTCTCTGAACATCCTTCAAGCTGTAGATCTTGTACCTGCATCAGCATTTAGGGCCCACAACCCCCAGTGAACTGGGCATTATCTGTATTTCTAGATGAAGAAACTGAGGCTTTACAGAAGTGAACAGCCTGTCTGCTCCTGGCATTTGAATCCAGAGCCAAAACAAGTCACAGATCTGTCATGATGGGTACTCCCACCCTCACCGGCCGCTTTCCAGGACCTCCTGGGCTCATCCCAAGCAGAGGAGGTTGGCCAGCTGGCCAAGATCGTGTCAGCTGAGCTGTGCTTTCATGGAAATGTGGAATCTCTTCCTGTTTCCTCTTTAAAACGGCTTGAATTGGATCGGGCCTCTTCACACTATGCTATGTGGCCATATGTATCTTCATTGTCTGCCTTCTTGCGTCATGGCCATTTTGGTGGCTTTTGGACAAAGTGACAGTCCCAGGGGAGAGAGCTAGAGAATTTCTGGTCTTGGTGGGCCAATGCTCCCTCTTGATTCTTCAGGTTGTTAGACCTTTGGATCTGCTCCCTTAGTGATTCCCGGGCTAGATGGAGACCCGTGGGCACAGTTTGAACGTTCACATTCTCAGACCTGGAGCTGGTGATGAATACATGCCGTTCTTGAAGGCGTGTGGTCAGAGCGTCTTCCCAGCGGGTTCTGTAGGACTGGGGCTCCGCGGGATGTTAATACGTATCCTTGAGAGGAACTGTGGTCAAAGCCACGCTCAGAGGTTTTTTGCTATGGGACTTCACTTGCTCCCCTGCCTGAGGCTCCCTGATTGGGGCTACCTGCCGTTTCTATCTTTCCACCATCTGGAAATAACAGCTTGATTTTCCTTTCCTTCCGCATGCTTCGAGCTCCCCCTCCCCAGTGAGTTGTGGTGCCATCAGCCCCGGGCTACCGTGTTGCAGGTTATGGTGGCATATCCCTGGCAGTGGAAGGCCCCAGCAAAGTGGACATCCAGACAGAGGACCTGGAAGATGGCACTTGCAAGGTCTCCTACTTCCCCACTGTGCCCGGCATTTACATTGTCTCCACCAAGTTCGCTGATGAGCACGTACCTGGTGCGTCTGGCCCCCTCTGCCCTCCCTGTGTGGTGCTTGGGTTTTCTGTCAGTGCCGTGCCTTAGCCTCTGGGCTGCTCACCAGGGCCTTCTCGGTTCTCGCAGGGAGCCCGTTCACCGTGAAGATCAGTGGGGAGGGGAGAGTCAAGGAGAGCATCACTCGGACCAGTCGGGCCCCATCTGTGGCCACTGTTGGGAGCATCTGTGACCTGAACCTGAAAATCCCAGGTGAGCATGAGGAATGTGGGGGTCGGGGTGGAGAGCACCCCTGGGAGCCATGTCTGGGCATGGCCTAGGACGTACTAAGTGCTCTTTGGTGACTATTTGTAAGTAAGTAAGCAGTGTATTTGTTTGTATTTTTCATACTGTTTTCACAGAGTCCCATCCGAGGAAAAAATACCTGGTTACCTGTTCCCTTTTTCTTCTTCCAAATGAAAATTTTTTTATTGTGTCTCATGGCGGGGAGACAGGCTTTTAGATTTGAATTTACTATCCATTAAATGGAGTCATGTCAGTGAGAGAATTGGCCCTGTCCTTGCCAATAGTTGGAAGTATTTCAGAGGTGTCAGTCCAATGGCATCCTTCTCATATTCGATGCATTTCTTCCATCGCTACAGTGAGAATGGAGACTGGGTGGGTGGGCCACATCCGGCCTTTTTGTCGTGAATGGTGTAAATGGACACTGTGAATGGATCTGTCTGAATATGGCCCAGGCTCCTTCCGTAAAGAGCTGTCCCTGGGGTGCCTGGGTGGCTCAGTCTGTTAAGCATCTGCCTTTGGCTCAGGTCATGATCCCAGAGTCCTGGGATCAAGTCCCACGTCAGGCTCCCTGCTCAGCGGGGAGTCTGTTGCTCCTGCTCCCTCTGCCCCTTTGCCTGCTTGTGCACACTCTCTCCCTCTCTTTCCCTCAAATAAATAAAAAGTAAGAGCCATCACAGTGAGTGCAGGTGTAAGGGTCCTGTGCCCACAAGCGGGCACAGGCTGTGTTGTGGCACAGATCTGTGTGGACAGAAAATCGAAACAGTCTTCGGATCACGCTCAGGTTGTGATTTGGAAGAAGGGACTGCTTCTCCTCCACGGCTCTTCCCCTCTTTCCCAACATGCCCCACTTCTACCTACTCTGCCTCCCCCATGGTCCTCAGTGGCTTCTTCCTATGTGGCTGCACCGCTGGCCACGTGAGAATGCAGGGAAAGCCTCCTTACTGCAGTGTCCATACGGAATCACTTACTAAAAATAGCTGATGCATTGTGATCGTGAAAAGTTCAGGTGTTCCAACCCCAGGAAAGGAAGTGTCATCGCATCTCCAATCAGCCAGGAGGGTTGTGGCTCACATGTGAGGCACAGAGCTGGACCCCAGTTGCCTCCAGCTTCCCAGACATGTGGGATCCCTTTCCAATCGCACCTGTGCACTTCTCACACACTGGAGTGTGGTCATCTTTTGATACTCCCACATCATTTTTTTTTTTAAAGATTTTATTTATTTATTTGACAGAGATCACAAGTAGGCAGAGAGGCAGGCAGAGAGAGAGGGGGAGGCAGGCTCCCTGCAGAGCAGAGAGCCCGATGCGGGGCTCGATCCCAGGACTCTGGGATCATGACCTGAGCTGAAGGCAGAGGCTTAACCCACTGAGCCACCCAGGTGCCCCTCATTTTTTTTTTTTAATTTTATCCACTTATTTATTAGAGGGAGAGCAAGCAGGGGGAAGGAGTGGAGGGAGAGGGACAAGCAGACTCCACACTGAGCGTGGAGCCCGACACAGGGCTTGAACTCATCACCCTGAGATCATGACCTGAGCCCGAATCAAGAGGTGGATGCTTGACCAAGTGAGCCATGCAGACGCCCCTCCACATCACATTTTCAGTGACTACGTAAGATTACTTTCCATATCCTGATGCACCGTCCTTCCTTGCGTAGTCTCAGCACACACACACTCATTTCCATCGCTGGATTCCGACAGCCGGGGCTCTGTAAAGTTCTCCGCTGTGTGCTCAGTCCATCAGCACGTCGGATGGTTGCCCCGGGGTGGGATGGCGTGGCTGCTGTGGTTGGAATGCTCCCCAACCCTGGCAGACAGACTGCCCTCGTGATAAAGGATCCGTGCCCATCTCTCCATTTCCCCACCAGCCCTGGGCAGTGTTTCCTTCTCACTTTGACCAATCCAATGGAAACATATGGTGTCTGGTTTTCAGTTCCATTTCTCAGGTCCCTAGTGACATGGACTGTGGTTTGTTTGTTTTTTTTTTCTTCTGCTTTACATTTTTCATTTTGCAAGTTCTCTGTTTCCTGAGGAACTAGCAGGTCAGTTACTTTTTCCCTAAGGTCTCCCTGGTTCTTGGCTCCTCTTTTCTCCGATCAGGTCCTTCTCAGTGCCGGCTGACTCTGGGTGAGACTCGCTTCCCAACCCTTACTACCTAAACGAGCCTCTGTCCTCGGTTAGAATGGAAGACAGCTCATCAGTTTCCAGATGTCCTCTGGACCCAGGCCATGTGGGGCGACCCTCTCCTCAACCGCCCTTCCTTTCTCTATCCTCAGGGCTCAAAGTCATGGCTGCTCAGCCCAGGTCATTGTAGGGCTGGCGAGCGCAGCTTCATGTGGCTCTAGGTGATGGCATTACGTGGTCACCCAGCATGCGATGTGCCTGTTTCTACCACGTCAGTGCGAGCACGGTCACTGGCACGGCATGAGCGCCGAGGGTGTGGCAGACACAGTCTGCGTCCCGGTGTTGGTGACCGGAGGCGTCACTCTTCTGAAAGCATGGCCTCTGGTATTTGACTCACTCGAAGCTTGGCTCACGCACGGTTTCCCTTTGTGGTTGTGACCAATGTGGGTTCACTTTTTCTCTAAATGCATTTGTCTTGTTGCCTCAAAGAAATGCCAAGTCTTCTTGAAGGTATGAGGTGACAGTTCTTGCATTTTCTCCCCTTACCTACCTATGGAAATGAGCCCCAGTAAGCATGATGTGTGGGCACGTGTCACCTTTGGCTTAGGAACATCCGATCTGTTATAATGGTTTCTGTTTACCTGCTGTCGCTTATCAGCTCCAGGCCCTGGTTTGAAACTGCTGTGCGGAATTAATGCCAGCTAGGAAGTCTATAAAAGTACTCGGTGGGGCAGACAGTGTCACTATTCCTACAACATTCTCTGCACTGGGTGGCTGGAGGTGCCCTGGCATCTCCATGGTGGCCGCGGCAACCCAGGGTTTGAGGGAGACAGGAGGGTAGGCATCCCGCCTGAATGGGAGGAAAGCCTGAGCACCCCACATCCCACCCTGGGCTGCCCCCGCCTTGCCCTCTGCTGCTTGCCCTGCATGGCCTGCTCTGCCTTGGTCCCTCACCCTAACCCTGCTCTCTTCCCCCCCAAACTTCCGCCTCCTTTCAGAAATCGACAGCAATGACATGTCGGCCCATGTCACCAGCCCCTCTGGCCGCATCACCGAGGCAGAGATCGTGTCCGTGGGGAAGAACTCGCACTGTGTCCGGTTTGTGCCCCAGGAGATGGGCGTTCACACAGTCAGCGTCAAGTACCGCGGCCAGCACGTGACCGGCAGCCCGTTCCAGTTCACCGTGGGGCCACTGGGAGAGGGGGGCGCCCACAAAGTCCGCGCAGGAGGCCCTGGCCTGGAGAGAGGAGAAGCAGGGGTCCCAGGTGAGCTTGCGGGCAGGCTCGTAACTTGAGAACAGGAGGAGCCTGGCGGTGTGAGCACCCCACGTTCTTCACGTGTATGGGATTCTGACGGTGGTATTGAGGGGCATTCTTTAAAACAAGGCTTCTGTGGCTACACATGATTGGGAATTGCCCACTTACCCAAAGCTAATAAACAAGCTTACTGAGAGACCCCTAGAGCCTGTAACGGTGCGTGTGCGCATCTAAGAGGGACGCAGGCTAAGGAAGCTCTTTGCAGACCGTCCTGCAGCGCTGACATTTGGTGGAACACACTGGAATTCTACAAAATCCATTATTGTGGCGGTTGCTGGTGGGAAGATCTGTAGGGACAAAACTGAGTGTTCTCATCTTTTTCTGCCTCGGTCGGGTGTGTTCAGAGATGCTGATTTCCTACAAACTTCATGTTCTCGTGGGTGGTGCTCCGAAAACATCGGTGATGCCCTTCCTTGGGGATCTGCCTGGCCTTAAAGGAGAGAAAAGGGAGCAGATGTAACCCAGCATCATGGGTGTGAGCTAGAAGAGAGCGTGTCCCAGGCTCAGTCGCTAACCAGGTGTTTCTTTCCTTTAGCCGAATTCAGCATCTGGACCCGGGAAGCCGGTGCTGGTGGCTTGTCCATTGCCGTCGAAGGCCCCAGTAAGGCCGAGATTACGTTCGATGACCATAAAAATGGATCGTGTGGAGTGTCTTACATTGCCCAGGAGCCTGGTATGTAATCACGAGCCAGCTGAGGATGTGGTCCTTGTTGGGGGATGCCTAGGCTGTGGGGAACGGAAGCCTGGCCAGCTAGCTCGAGTCAAAGTGGAGTGTATCGGTATGGGTGCGTGGGAGCGCCTTCTAGAAATCCATGGCAAGAAATCGGTCGGGCCTCGGGGCAGGAAGTGTGGTTCTCTGGTACCTCTCTGCTGGCCTCTCCTTCATGCTTTCATTCAGCCCTGCCCTTCCTCCCGCTGACCAGCCTCTCTTCCCATCCTTGGCCACTGGCTCTGTGGCCTCAGGGCTCTGAGCTCCCTTGAGCAGCAGCTCTTAACCTTTTTGTGAACTGTGGACTCTCTTGGGCATCTCCTAAAGCCTACAGGGACTGTTCTCAGGATAATGTTTTAAACATATAACATAAAATGCATTGGGTTATAAAAGAAATCAGTTACATTAAAATGGAGTTACCAAAATCTTCAGGGGAATGTGTAACATAGTAACATATGCACATTCTTCCTGAATACATTAAGTCATAGGATTTGGCGGTGGTCTGCTAAGGACCTTAATTTCAAAGTAGAGGTGAGAGTAAAAAATACGTTAAGGTATATATAAAACTGTAAAGTGACATGAAAATATCTGTGATCTTTTTTGGTGACAGAGTCACGCTTGATGTGTGCTTTGAGTGTTCTTGTTGATGTTTTGTTTTTTTTTTTTAAGATTTTATTTATTTATTTGACAGAGAGATCACAAGTAGGCAGAGAGGCAGGCAGAGAGTGAGGGGGAAGCAGGCTCCCTGCTGAGTGGTGAGCCCAATGCAGGGCTCCATCCCAGGATCCTGAGATCATGACCTGAGCCGAAGGCGGAGGCTTAACCCACTGAGCCACCCAGAACCTCTCTTGTTGAACTTTCTAATAGAAAGAACGGAAATGCTAAATTTCAGCCTGAAGTTATTAGTAAAAGTAAAAATGTAAATTTTTTTCCCATTCAAGTTTCCTGGGTCTCCTGAGTTCTTAAGCAGGACCTTAGGGAGTCCCTTGGACCCAAATTAAGACGCTTGGCCCTTGGGGTGCCTGGGTGTCTCAGTCAGTTCAGTGTCTGCCTTTGGCTCAGGTCATGATTCTGGGGTCCTGGGATCAGGCTCCCTGCTTGGCAAAGAGTCTCCTTCTCGCTCTACCCCTCCCTCCACTCATGCATGTGCTTGCACACACTCTCTCTCTCTCAAGTAAATAAATAAAATCTTAAAAAAAAAAAAAAAAGAAGAAGAAGAAGAAGAAGAATATTGCCCCTTTCCCAACTAAAGGAATCCTATTGGCTCAACCTCAGCTAGGTGACCTGCCCTCAGCCAACCAACCAGCCCTGACGGTCGGGGAGGCAGAGGCTCTTGGAAGGCATTTCAGCCCTAGGAAGGAAGCCAGAGGCCGCTCTGGAACCGCCTTCCCAGATTCTCTGAAATGATGGGACTTTCCTGTCCCCACAGGTAACTACGAAGTGTCTATCAAGTTCAACGATGAGCACATCCCTGAAAGTCCTTACCTGGTGCCAGTCATTGCACCCTCGGACGACGCCCGCCGCCTCACTGTTATGAGCCTTCAGGTGAGACGCAAGGAAACATCCGTCTCATTGGCCACAGGCCGACCAGTGAAACCCTGGACTCTTGAGGCCGCTTCAATCCTCCCTTCAGTGCCAAGGACCCCATTCCAGTGGGACCAGAGATGCTGCCAGCTGTAGAGGACCCTTCTTCCCATGGCAGAGTGAAACCCCCACCACCACCACAGTTAGGACAGGAGACACTTGGGGCAAGCGGAAACAGAGCCATAGTCAACAAAACACCTCAACATTTGGGAACAAGTTCGTTTCTTAAATATTTATTCAAGAGAAACAAAGGAGGCCTATTAATAATCGGTTAAGGGTTAAGGAGGACTTTCCAACAGAATGAACACCAGGCCAACAGTCCAGGGACGTTCTGCCGGCTACTGCAGGCTTCCTCTCCCTCCAAAAAGTCAATTGCAGTTGATTTTATTATGGTGCTTTATTTATAAGGGTGCAAGGCACCACCTAAGGACTTTATCAGTATTAAATCCTTGCATGAGCCTGGGGAGTAGGTTTCTCCTGACCCCATTTTAAAGATGGAGAAACTGAGGTATAGAGAGGTTACGGCTACCAGAAACCAGCTAGCATGAGGCAGAGGGATGGTCTCTGTGGCTCCAGAACCCGTGGTCTTAACCATGGCCCCGTGAATCCCCGCCCTGGCACTATGGCAAGTGGTTACGTAGTCCAACCTGTGGGGGTGCCAGAAAGTGCAACTTTCCCCCTGTCTTCAACAGGCTGTCAAATTCAAGGTTTCATGAGAGCCTGCAGCCAGACTAATAACCGGTAGGGATGCCTTTGGGTCATTACTCAGGACACTGAAAAGCAATTAGGTGTCAGAAATCAGGAGTAGCAGTTTGGTTGCAGAATCACACCAGAGTCCCCAAGTCTGATTTCTGATCAATGGGATTTCTCAGTAGCCTTCAGCTGCCCCGCCCCAACCCCCATTTTTGAAAATCCTGTATCTGAGGTTGGTGATCTCATTGACCCTAATTCCACACACTTGGTTTACATGTGAGATTCTAACCTTACCCTGAGGAGAACTAGTGCTGCTGGTTGTTCCAAAACATCAGGGAACCCAGACTGAACCCAAAGCAGACTCACCTCTGCGGATTGAAGAGGCCTCACCCAGGAGTCCTCAGGGTGCGAACGGGTTGCTGTGGCGTAGATGTTTTTCTTGTGTTTCATTTAAAGGCTTCTTAACAGAAGTTTCTTCTGTGGCCGACTTAACTAAAACCTGTGGAGGGAGATAAACCCAGCGTTTGTTGAGGGCAGAGAGCTGCCTTCATGCATCTCGAAGATTTCTCTCAGATCTTCTGAGGCGTTTATCTCCCTCTTGAGGATTTAGCGGCAAGCGGATTCAGGTAATGTAAATGGTTCTGTCCCCAAAAAACCTGGTTTGGAGAAATCCTCTCCAGGAGACTTTTCTGTAGACTCCTCTCATCACCGTTAGGTCGTAAATATTTGAACAAGTGTGCAGTGGGCTGTGCGTGTCTCTTTGTCCCATTCCGCACCCCTCCCCCCCCCACCCTGTGTCACTTGGTGCTGAGTGATATGTAAATTATTTATCGGATATTTGCCCGCGGCCTGCATGCCAACATCTGGTGCTGATTAGGAAAAGAGAGGCATGTATTGTTTTGTCTTGATTTTAAGACTTTTTAGAAAATTGAAGTCGGCTGGCATTTCGTAGAGGAGGGGATGGTGGGACAGGGGCAATCTGGCGATTAAAGATTCCTGAATTTCGTGTGCAGTCCTCTCTCCCCAGCCTGTGACCTCCAGTGCAGCACAGTGCAATAGAATGTTCTACAACAACGGAAACGTCTCACATCTCCTCTGTGCAATGTGGTAGCCACTGGCCACACGTGGTTGTTGAGCCGTTGAAATGTTGCTAGTGTAACTGAGGAATCAGATCTTCAATTTAATTTGATTTGATTTAAATTTTTATTTAAAATTTATTTAAAAATTTTATTTAAAATTTTATTTAAAATTTTTATTTAAAATTTTATTTAAAATTTTTATTTAAAATTTTATTTAAAAATTTTTATTTAAAATTTTATTTAAAAAATCTTCTGTGGCTCGTGGCTACCAAGTTAAGCAGTGCAGCTTTACTGCCTTATTGCTGAGATGTGGTCCTGGGACAAGCAGCCTCAGCATTTCCTGGGAGTTTACTAGAATCCTAGAATTCCAGGCTCTCTGTGCTCCCTGCCCTGGCCCCTGACCCACTGGATCAGAATCTGCATTTTAACAAGACCCCCATGTACTTCGATTGCACACTGCGGTATCATCTGAGGAGTGGCTGTCTGATCGACTTCACCACAAAACTGCTAACGAATTAAATCTTGTGGTTCAGGCAGGACTGGCCAATTTTAAACTATCTTAAGCATCTAAACCTCTAATCCCCTTCTCCTGTGAGAGGCTATAGTTTCCAGGGCTGAGTGTGGAGGCTAAAACTGAACCAGTGAAGAGTAAAAGCTAGACTTCTTTCTGTTGAGGCGGGGGAGGACAGCGGGGGTTGGGGGGACACGGGGAGTTAAGTGCAGACAACTTCTGAGTTCATATACATACTTAACGATAAGCTGACCTTTGGGAGCCTTTCTTTGTATGGACCAGCCCCTGCGCTGAGTGCTTGGAATGAATCACTTCCTTTCACCCTCATGCGTCAGCTCTCTGGCATAGATTCAGTTATTTGTGCCCATTCTACAGATGAGGAGACTGAGACTCAAAGGTGGAACAACTTACTTACATAGCTAGGAAATGGTAGTCACCCCAGGTCCTGCTGGGGTGTATACTCCTCTATGAGTTTATTAAAAGTTGTCTCCATTCCTACCCTTGAGATAAAAAATGGCAATGATATAAAACTGTTCATGTTGATGAGTACAGGGTTTTGTCAGTTGCCAGGCTCCTCTTAAAAGAGGGTCCTTTCTGACCTGGAAGGCACTGGGTTTTCTGGCTGTCTGGTCTTGTTTGAGATCTGGAAATTACAGTTCTGTTGGCGAGGATGTCTGAGTCTCCAAATCCGGTAACCCTCTCTCCCAGCCCGAACCGAGGTGCTAGACGATGCTGACATGGGTCTCTGCTGTCTTATATTTAAAGCTAGAAGTGTAGAAGAAGGCACCTGCTCTTCTGTTGTCAGTTGTTGTATGGTTCAATATCCTGGGCCTTTTTGCATGAGAACTGTCCCCTGGAGTCCCAGGTCGGGTCAGTGTGTGCCACCGAACAGGAACACCAAGGGCCATAACCTCTTTAATGTATTAAATTCCCAGGAATCGGGATTAAAAGTTAACCAGCCAGCCTCCTTTGCTATAAGGTTGAATGGGGCAAAAGGCAAGATCGATGCGAAGGTGCACAGCCCCTCAGGAGCCGTGGAGGAGTGCCACGTGTCTGAGCTGGAGCCAGGTGAGCGGGGCAGGCGGGCAGACCCCGGTATCTGTGCCTCTCTGAGGCATGTTTCTGCAGGCGTGCACCCCCACAGAGGGCTCACTGGCCACACCGAGGCCAGCCAGCCTGCAGATCCCTTCTGCTGCTGTTGCCAGGCCCTGTTTATAAATTAGGGCATAAACATTCACCAGGGACAGGAAGACACTTTAGGATACAGCCTTCCTTTTTCTTTTTTCCTTTTCTTTGCTTTTCTTTTTCTTTTTTTTTAAAGAGTTTATTTATTTGACAGAGAGAGAGAGACGCAGCAAAAGAGGGAACATAAGCAGGGGGAGTGGGAGGGGCGCCTGGGTGGCTCAGTGGGTTAAGCTGCTGCCTTCAGCTCAGGTCATAATCTCAGGGTCCTGGGATCGAGTCCCGCATCGGGCTCTCTGCTCAGCAAGAAGCCTGCTTCCCTCTCTCTCTCTCTCTGCCTGACTCTCCGTCTACTTGTGATCTCTGTCTGTCAAATAAATAAATAAAATCTTTAAAAAAAAAAAAAAAAAAAGCAGGGGGAGTGGGAGAGGGAGAAACAGGCTCCCTGCTGAGCAGGGCTCCTGGACTTGATCCTAGGACCTGGGATCATGACTTGAGCTGAAGGCAGATGCTTAACCGACTGAACCACCCAGGCACCCCTTTCTTTTCTTTTTTAACAAACTGTTTTATTTTCTATTGTTTTTCAGATTCTGTTCACATTCTGTTCATTGTGGTTTTTTTCTTTTTCTTTTTTTTTTTAATTTTATTTATTTATTTGACAGACAAGAGAGCACAAGTAGGCAGAGAGGCAGGCAGAGAGGCAGGCAGAGAGAGAGGAGGAAGCAGGCTCCCCGCTGAGCAGAGCCCAACGTGGGGCTCGATCCCAGGACCCTGGGATCATGACCTGAGCTGAAGGTAGAGGCTTTAACCCACTGAGCCACCCAGGCGCCCCTGTGGTTTTTTCCTTCTAGTTTAACAAAATCTTAACAGATTTTTATTATGTTGTTGACCTTATGACACAAGTAAGTACTCTCTGACCTCACTTTACTCTGAGGGAAAAGTTAATTGATGTTCATCCGTAAATTTCAAAGAATCTGGGACTCCAGTATGCTTATGAGTCGAAGATTTTCCTGCCTGCTCCCTTGACGTACAGAATTCTCTGACATCTATCAACTTTAATGAGCCATTTTGCCAGTGAACATTTGTTAAGTGTGAGAGACTTGGCAGGATGGTAGGAGGAAGACGTGATGCTTGCCCTCAAGCAGGAGCTCAGAGTGAGATGGGGACGTGGCTGGAAGCCCGCAGTCCCCACCTGCGGAGGACCCCAGGTGGTCAACAATACCATGGGGACCCAAGGATGAAATGATGAGGGAGCAGGAGAGAAAAGTAGTTTCTGCCTTGGTGAGCCCGGAGGGCTTCTCAGAGGAAATGACATGGAATGTGGGCCCCAATACGTGAGGAATTGTCGGGCATTTGCTATGTGTCCTACGATGTGTACAGTAAGGGTAGACATCTGGAGAGTTTGGAGGAGAACAGTTAGTCTGCATCCCAGGTGGGAGGGCTTCAAGGAGAAAGAGGTGATGGATGGATAGTCTTGGTGGCTGGTCATTGGACAGATTGCCACCTGCTGTGACCTAAACACTGGAAAACCTGGCCATTGCCCTTGCGGGGGGGGGGTGCAGTTGCTAGCTTAGAGCTTAATTCAGGAGCATTAATGCTAGTTGGAACCATTTCTTTTCCCTTCAAGGGGCCAGGTAGAGAAACTTTGTGAGAAGTGAGCTTTTCATAAAGAAAGTGTTCTTCCTGGGTGCCTGAGTGGCTCAGTCGGTTAAGTGTTGGCTCAGGTCATGATCCCAGGGTCCTGGGATCAAGCCCTGCATGGGGGTCCCTGCTCTTTGGGGAGCCTGCTTCTCTGTCTCCTTCTGCCCTGCCCCCCACTCATTTTCTCTTTCTTTCTCTCTCTGAAATAAATAAAAACATCTTTGAAAAAAAGAAAGTGTTCTCCCAAGGCAGATGCCATGTTCTCAGAGGATGAAACCTCGAATTTGAGACTTGGATGCATTTCCCAAAGGGTTGACAAGGGACACATAAACAGGCCCATCTGGTTTTGAAATCCAACATACTGGGTACCAGGCTTCCAGGAGAGGTGTGGTCTTATTAATGATTTAAAATTCACCATCTCGGGCTGGACTTTTTCCTCACTCCCTGGGTCGTATGCGCATACTCAGCCTGACCCTGTACTCTGCTCACTCTCCTAGACAAGTACGCCGTGCGCTTCATCCCCCATGAGAACGGCATCCACACAATCGACGTCAAGTTCAACGGGAGCCACGTGGTTGGAAGCCCCTTCAAAGTGCGGGTCGGGGAGCCTGGACAAGCCGGGAACCCCGCCCTGGTGTCCGCCTATGGCGCCGGGCTTGAGGGGGGCACCACAGGTAACCCACAGCCTCTGCCTCTGATCGTTAGCTGAGCCCGCTCCAGGGGCTCAGCCAGCAGGAGCTCTTCAGGCTTCGGGAAGCCTTCCCTGACCTCTCCCCACCCCCCACACCCCCCCACGCTGGGGAAGCTACAATGCTCAACACTTTGGAGCTCTTGATCTCCGGAGTTGTTTTGGGACATGTGCTTTGACCCTCGGTCAGTCCAAAAGCAAGGGCTTGATGACTGTGTTATCACACCTCATTACTGTTTGCTCCACTTCGCCTGTCTTCCTTGGCCAAGTGCCTTTTCAGGGCCAGGACACCGATGGTGAGGGAAGACAGGGTCCTGTCTTTGCTTCTGAGGGTGTCTTTGCCTGCAAAGGATTCAGTGTGTGTCACAGGCCTCCTGGGAGGTCTCCTGCCCTCAATTCCTTCTGCAGTCCTAGGCTCACAGAAACAACCTTGAATTGGCAGTAGGACCTGTCACGGTCTGCCTCCCCCTTTTAGTTTCTGGTCCTTGCAGAGGAGGAGAAAAGATGGTGACAAAAAATTCTAGAGCTTTTCGGACTCGTTAGAATCTGTTTTTTGTCTTTGCTGTGGATGGGGCATATTTGGTTGTGAAGGAGGCAGCGGGGATGTATGTAAAGGAAGCTGGCTCCGTCTCCTTGCTTCTCCCTCCTTCCGTCTAGACCCGGGAGGGAACACCACTTGTGGTTCAGGGGTGGACCTTCTGACTGCCTGTGTCTGTCACCCTCACACATGGTCGCTTAACTAGTTGGTTTGTTAAAAAGGTGGACATACAGTGTGGCTTTTATTTTCCAGAAATAATCTTGGTGCATGTGATGTTGTAGTGTTTTTCACTTGGCATCTTCGAGAACTTTCTGTGTCAAAACACAGATCTCTGCCCCTTGTAATGGCTGCGGTTCATGTTCATCCCGTGAGCCTCCAGGCGGGCCTTGGTTGGGGGGGGCGTGTCACTGTATGGAGAGGGCCAGCCTGGGGAGCTTGTCCACTCAGGCTTCTCGGCAGGGCCTGTCTGCAGAGACATGGACGCACTGGGCACGGTTTGCACTGGGGGTTACCTTGGGCCTTGGGAAGGCAGCCCGGTCCCGGCTCAAGGCCCTTGTGTGTATATGTTCTGCTTCAGTCTCCTGCTGATGTGGTGACTTGGACAAAGCAGACCCGCCTTGCCTGGGCAAGGAGATGAGTGGCTGCAGCTCCTGGGGATCCAGCCCTAGGGAGCCTGTGTCCCAAGTGGCCCGAGGGGCCCTGTCTGGGTGCAAGAGTCACTGACAGACTGGCACACGGCCCTGGGCTCCAGTCGAAGCAGTGGCCTCAGCAGAAACACCCGCAGGGGTGGCGTAAATATTTCTGGACTCCCAAGACCGTCTAGTCTGGCTCCACACTGAACTGTGGGCCAGCAGCCTGCCCTTAATAAGAGGCATGGTAACCCTTCACCGTCCGCCATTCCATTTCACAGATGAAGAAAGTGAGGCTCAGAAGGGTTGAGTTGCTCCCTAAGCTTACTTAGCTGGGAGTAACAGAACCAAAAATCAGTCTGGGTCCCTGACCTCAAAGCCTATACCCTTAACCCCGGAGTTTTGCTGCCCCTCTGAGTGGCTAGCTCACCCCAGATAATGACCACCCCTGGCCCACTTTGGGGGGTATCCTAAACCAGGACCCCTGTTGTCCTAGTGGCCTGAAATGGTCCCCATGCAGGAGTGCAAGCATTTGGTCCCTGGCAGGATACCCTCCTTTAAAGACCACGTGGGGTCCTCCCGGCATCAGAGCCACACACACCTTGGTCCGGGTTGCACAGCAGCCACTGAGGTCTCCTGCAGCTGCCAGCAGCCACCTTCCCTCCTGCTGGGTCACACCTGCTGCGTTCGGGGCCTCTCGTGCTTCCTCTTGGCTGTTTGCATGCCTTCTCGGGAGCTTGGGTTTCAGGCTGTCCTTTGCAAGGGCTGGATGCCACTGAGAGAAGGAGCCAGTCTTAGAGGGAGACTCCCAGCCAGGAGGGAGAGGTACAGAGCATGCCTGTTTCAAACGCTGTGTCAATATTGCTCTTGTCAAGGGGAAGGCGTCTTGTTTTTTTTAGCCCTCCCGCTCGCAAGCCTTTTCCCAAATATCCATCCCAAGATAACACAGCTGCAGTGTGCGTGGGATGAAAAGGTATCTGTGCTTGGCTGCTGGAGGGCCTGGCACCCTGACCTTCAGAATAAAGCAAACTTCCCTGTGTTTTTATGGGTTCGCTTGCTGTATCTTTTGGCTTGAGCCTTAAATGGGCCATTTTGCAGGTTTTGGAGTAGGGGAATGTGGAGAATTTGGGGTGGGACTGTCTGCTTGCCAGGGAGTTGAGAGGTTGGGCGTGAGACCAGGGGGTTCTCAATGCTCTGGGTTGGAAGACCAGCCTTAGTGATAAAATGCTCCAAGATCCCCGGTGCGTGCCAGGTGGAGCAGAAGAGCCTCCATCCCTCCCCTGCCCCGTCTCCCACCTTCACAATAGAATAGGGCTGCAGTAGACACGCATTCACCACACAGGAACTCAGCTGTGCACACATGGGGCTGCAGGGGGGAAGACCGCCATGCCCAGATATGTTCGGGGTGTCACGCTCCAGCTGGAGGCACTAGGCAGAGGGACTCCTGCGCGTGGATTTTCTTTTTCCTCACTTCTCTCAGACAAATGCCTTAGCTCCACGCTGGCTGGGTCTCATGTTTAAATCCCAGTCCTGCCATTCTCCAGCCGTGGTACTTGGCACCAAGGATTTGACCTCACCCGGCCTCCGCTTCCTTCCTGTAAAATGGGAAGAATAAGGGAGCCCACCCCACAGGTTGTTCCACGTAGCTCTTGCCCTGTCATTCCTTACTTCTCTTTTCCCACCTCGTGTCTCCTGTCTCTCCAGGCCCTCACAGCCAGGATTCACAGATCTTGATCTTTCTTGAGAAGGCAGCAACTTGTTAAAATGGGTTGGGCTTCTCGCCACTACAGCCGGTCTTTTCATCTTCACTTTAAAAATATCTTTCCTTATCGTCGCCTTGCAGCTACTTCCTGGAAATGCAGTCCCTTGTCGTGTGCCACCCCACCCCCTTGCCCACACAGCCTCACTCTTGGCTGCAGGGTTTAGAGACAAGGTTGAGATAATCGGGGGGCCCTGGGACAGGAGGAGCCTCAGGAGCTTCCAGAAGCAGCTGGGTTGTGTTTGGGGGTTGCATGATAGCAGCGCCTTTGTTTTATTGATAGCCAGAACAATAATTCTTTCTCTGGCCTAGGAGCTATAATTAAACCCAAATAGTTCCCAGCTGGGGCGGCATCCAGGGCTCTGGGGAAAAGCACTGCCCTGCACAAGGCTGCTGTGCCGGGGCTGGCCTGTAGAGGGCACTGTCGAGGGCAGCCCTCACTGACCACCTCATGCCTCCTGGCATGGGAAATGGGCCTGAAGGAGTGGAGGCTTCTGCAGGGCCCCGGGCTCAGGCAGGAATGCAGCACAGGCATTGATCAGCCCAGCTTTTCTTTGTCACAAGGCAGAATGTCCATGCAGAAGGCCCCTGTGGGCCAGGCAAGAGGCTCTGGAGCCACATGGAATTATTCATACCCCAGTTCTACCAGTTTCCTAGTTTGTATCACTGCCCGGCAAGTGCCCGAGCCTCCCTGAGCCTCTGTCGTTTGTTAAACAGGAGTCACTGTGTACGTAACAGGATGCTTACTGTGGGATCTGGAACCCGAGCAGTGGAAGCTTGGGTCAGTTAGCAGGAGCCACTGTTTTGGCCTTGTTCTTGTTGCTGGTGCTCATGGCAAAGTGGGGGGCTGGCAGATTCCAACAGCCTCCCCAGACTTTAGCGTGGTGACTGAGGCAGGGAGCCTGTGGGAGGAGAAGAAGATGCTCGGTCTGCTCGGCGTCTCCAAGTCCACTCGGCGTCTCCAAGTCCACCAAGTCGGGAAAAAGGAAAGGTCAGAGGGGCCCACGCATCCTCCACCCCGCTGGAGGCAGGGCTGAGCCCCCAGCAGCTGAAACAGCATTTTAGGCTGACAGCGAAGACTCCGGCTTCTTGTCCTCAGCCACCACGCCTGCCCAGAGGCAAGAACAGGGTGTCCTGGCGGTTGGGGCTGGTGGGCGAAAGGTCAGCCACACTCTTGCCTCCTGCTAGGAAAGGGAGTTACTGCCCTCAGGAGCTCAGAGCTAGTACCGACGCTGTGCCTCTGTGGGGAAACCTATACCCCCCCCAACCCCTGCCACTGCTTCACTGCCCCTGGGAAAGCTCCCCAAACCACATCCCCCCATCCCTCCAAACCAATACACATTCCCTCTTCATTTCTCCCAGGTATCCAGTCTGAATTTTTCATCAACACCACCCGAGCAGGGCCGGGGACGTTATCTGTCACCATTGAAGGCCCGTCCAAAGTTAAAATGGATTGCCAGGAAACCCCAGAAGGCTACAAAGTCATGTACACGCCCATGGCTCCTGGAAACTACCTGATTGGCGTTAAATATGGTGGACCCAACCACATTGTGGGCAGTCCATTCAAGGCCAAGGTGACAGGTAACAACCAAATGGCTTTGAAGTTACTGTTTTTCCTGTGGACCATGTCCTGTCAGATTATCAACAGAGTTACTTGATACTAGAAACTGTGGGTAATTTTAGATACATTGAATCTACTTTGAATCTTGAATATAAAGAAATGGTAGGACATTTCCCGGAGAGTAAATATCTTTAGAAGCCCGTGAATATGTGCTGACATCATCGCCCTCTAAAATAATGAGTGTTGAGATTGAAAAAATGTTTTTTTAACAGAACAGAAAAAAAATTTACATATTTGTTAAGATCGGGACCTGAAAAATCCTCTTGTTTCTAACCTTTTACTTTTAAAATAATCAAAAGGTTTTATTAAATTTATAAAAATGCACCTCCTTCAGAGCGCTAGGAAAAATACCAGTCAATAGCATCTCACAACCCACAGCCCCAGGTAGTCATCATAAATATTGTGGTAAATCCCTTCCATGTGTCTCTGCTCGGTTTACTGTTGATTGGGTAGTATATATAGCTTCATTGCAGAAAAATTTATTAAAGAGTCAGATGGAAAAAACATCCTTTCACATGCAGAGAGAACCATTTTTGTTATTTTGTTTTATGTTCTCCCCAACATCTGACATTGTTTATACATAAGGGTATTTTATTTCCATGGAAAGAGGTAGATTCTGCAGGGTGCCACAGGGTTATGTGGGAGGGATTTCCAGGTTTTGTCATTTGTCATTGCCCACTGTGTGGGGTGGGACCCAGGGGTTTGGAAGACATTATGGGTGTGAGATGGGGAGAGGGCAACATTTAAATCAGGTGTTGGGGATACGAGGTGGGGATGTGGTAGCTTTGGGATCCAGCCATTGAGGTGCACGGACTTAACTGGAGCTTCTGCCCTGGGACACTCGCCTCTTCTAGCTGAGAGAGCCTACTGCCTCTGGCCATTCACTCCTACCTCCCCTCCCTTCCATCTTCTAGGCCAGCGTCTGGTCAGCCCTGGCTCAGCCAATGAGACCTCGTCCATTCTGGTGGAGTCTGTGACCAGGTCATCGACAGAGACCTGCTATAGTGCCATCCCCAAGGCATCCTCAGATGCCAGCAAGGTGACCTCCAAGGGGGCAGGGCTCTCAAAGGCCTTCGTGGGCCAGAAGAGCTCCTTCTTGGTGGACTGCAGCAAAGCCGGTAGGTAGCCTGGTCCTGCTTGAGGGTCAGGGTGGAGGCAGGCTGACACCCTCTGCCCACCGGCCCATGCAACCCAGACATTTGCAAGTAACCTTGTTCATGACCCCTTCTCCTGTACTTAATATTTGCTAATGATTTTCCTCTTTTGACTCTTGATTCTTTCAAATGCCCTCAAGGTAGACAGGAAAGGTGACATTATCCCCATTACAGATGGGCAAACTGAATCGGTAACCTGGCTCCTTTCTCTGCCAATAATTGCTTTAATTGCAGTTTGAACTTGAGTATTTATTTGGGTGTCAGTGGTTAGTTGCCTGGGTTCAGGGATCTGGCACATCTGGGCTGGAAACCTGGCTCCAGTACTTCTTCCCCCGCCCCCTTCCCTCCTCCCTCCCTTCCTTCCTTGCCTCCTTCCTTCCTGCCCCAAACTTAGCCATGTGATCTGGGAAAGGTACTAAATCTTTTTCTAAAAGTCAGTTTCTTGTTGTCTAAAATGGGAATCTTTATAAAGTACCTTCCTTAAGTTTCTGATGAGAATAAATGAGATCAGAGTAGCGATCACTTACGTAACTCTTGCTACAAGCTAAGGGCTTCACATATAACTTCTGTAAACCTCTTAGCAAGCCCACAGGGGAGGTGCTAGGATCATGTCCTATTTACGGATGGGCAAGCTAAGGCAGAGAGAGGTAAAGTTCCTCATCCAAGGTCACCCAGCTAGGAGGTGGCAGGCAGGGATTTGAACCCATGCCATTGGGCTCTGAGTCTGCTTATAATTGCCATGTTGTTCCACCTCTCGAAGTTCCCGGTGTCAGAATCTCAGCAGACAATACTTGGTGTATTTCCTTTGGCTCTCATTTCCCCTCCCCTTCCTCTGCCTTCCATGATGCATCCTGATAGAGTAACCACCTTTCTTTGCATCCTAGGTTCCAACATGCTGCTGATCGGTGTCCATGGGCCAACCACTCCTTGCGAAGAGGTCTCCATGAAGCATGTGGGCAACCAACAATACAACGTCACATACGTTGTCAAGGAGAAGGGAGATTATGTTCTAGCTGTGAAGTGGGGAGAGGAACACATACCCGGCAGTCCATTCCACGTCACGGTGCCTTAAAACGGTTCTCGTCAAATGCTGGGAGGAGTTCTGGTGGTTGCTTTTGTTGCTTGTTTGTAACTTGTTTTATACAAAGTTTTCCTCCAGCTTGTTTATGGGTCTGAAACCCCACCCCAAAAACATTGTCGTTCTAAAGTGCCTTGAGAAATAAGTCCTAGACTTGACTCTTTAGGAACGCATTGGGGACTGTTAAGAAATACAGACTCATGCAATGGGCTGAGAGGATTTCCATGCTCATTCCGGTCAGATCCAGATCTGACCTCTTGCTGGCACCCATCGCCCCCTGCAGACAGACCAAGGTCACTCGCAAGATTGCCGTTCCTAAAGAATGAAATTGGCTAGCCCGTTTATGCAACAAGACTGGCAGGGAGGGACAGGGCAAAGAGGCCACCTACTTTTAGGCTGTCACTTAGAAAACAAGGTGACTTAAAAATCCAGCTTCATCTCTCCAGCGCCCTATCACAGAGAAGGATCTTGTTTCGACATGACCCATCTCCACACTCCCACCTGCCCCATGGCCTTTTTACACGTCTCAGAGGGCAGCGGTACGTGGCGGCAGACTGCCCTCAGTGCCTCCTAGTGCCTCTCCCCTGGTTCTGCTGAGTCTTCCCCTGCAAAGTTGTAACATGTGCCCCATCTGGGCAGCCACGTTTTGCTTTTATCTTTAAAGGCCCTTGAAGTCTCTGGGTCCAAGGAAGTTCTGCTGTGGCAGGCAGCTCCCTCCTGCCAAAGATCCCTTTTTTTAAACCAACTCGAGGCTTTGTTCTTAACACATACTCCAGCCGTTGTCAGTCTGATGAGTCTTGCCAACACGCTCGAAGGGACCGCAGGTGGGTCACTGTGTCAGCACCCTCGTCTGCAGAGGCCTGTCATGGGACAGAACATTCCAAACCCACCTCCAGTCAGCCGTGGGATCACTTCTGGAAAAGAATGATAGATAGGAAAGAATGGAACTCCTGCTGATCTTTGGCCTCAAAATCAGGGCATGGCAGAGGGGGTGGGAAGGACAGCGGCAGCTCCTAGGTGGTCTTCTGTTGTTGGGCAGAAATAGTGAAAGCTATGTAGCTGACGGTGGCCCTGTGTTCATTTGGCCCCGACCGTGTCCTCTGAGGTTGTTTGGAAAGCTGCGTGCAGGTGCATAATTCCAGAAATGGGGTGTAAGGCGTTTTGCACCCCTTTCTGCAGACCTGAGCTGGCTTTGGAATAAAGTTAAAGCCTATGGGGACTCTGCCCAACTTTAGGGCCCAGGGGTGTGGTATGGTCTGGGCCGGCAGACCTTTTTGATTTGCTGCTCCGTCCTGAGGAAGTGGCTGCCCTGGTCACGAGCACCTCCACGGGTGGGACGGGGAGCGAGGCAGAAGACTGTCACTGAGACGCAGCAGCTGGGAGCAGGTGCTGGCAATAGCCCACCTCTGAGAAACCGGGGCAGCCTGAAGCCCCATGCGAAAGGGCCACAGGTTTTGTAAACTGGGACGTGGAAGTGAAACTGGAATCAGATGCCGACTGTAAATTGTACCTTATAACTTATTAAATGTTTGCTCCGTCAAGCTCCCTTGGTGTTCTTGGACAGTGTTGTTTCTGAATAAATTGTTCGAGTCTCTGACCAGCTCTCCCTTCCATAGATGAGCAACTTGTTCTGACGTGAGCCTGGCCTCTCTTTGCAGGAGGGATGATGGCCCTTCATGAGTGCCGCTGGGAGGGGAGTGTCAGGAGAGGCCCAGCAGCCAAACAGGTGGCGGTGAGGGCCCTGGGGAAGGGGCACTGGCCAGGACACCAACACAGTGTCTAGGACAGAAAGCCTTTTTCCCCAATGATGGGAGAAAGGGTCATTTTAGGGGGTTTACTTAAACAAGAAGCAATGTCACCTGTTGTCCCAACTGCCCTTGGACCACAGGGTTCCTCTGTGTGTGTGGTATCCGTCTTTCTCTCCCTGCCCCTTCCTTCTGGTAGGAAGAGCTTGTGCCTGATATATTCTTAGCATATCTCCCCCCACCCCTCCTGCTCACCCTCTTGGCACCCCCGTGACCCCACTTTGCCATACTGACACCAGCTCAGGTGCTGAATGGACACGTCACTTGGGGCAGACCCCAGACCCTGGCCTTTTTGTCCCCAGAGTGGAGGCTCTTCCTCCCTGGTTATCCCTTCGTGGGAGCAGGAAGGGCACCAGGACTCCCCAGATGAGCCCCAGGAAGTCCCCGCTGGGCCCCTGGCCCTCCACTGGAGTGAGGGCTAGAGGGAAAGGCAGGGAAGGAAGACTGCATCCTTTTGTGTGTTTCTTCCTGGCACCTCCTTACTGATCAGGATGGAGGCTTGTTTACCGCTGGGAGGTGGGAGGAAAGTGGGAATAAAGAAGGTTTTCCCTCCTTTTCCCTCCCTGTGGAGGAAGCCCCCATAGCTGTGGGCCCGTGCCGGCTGTGACTGTTCCAGGACTCCCCAAGCTGGGGGGCTTGGGGGGCTGTCCAGGCTCTGCGTGGTGATGCTGACCTTGCTGGTTTCAATCCCAGGAGGTCTGGCTGGTTTCTTTCGGGGAGGCAGCATGTCTGTGTTCACAGCTGGACTTGGGCATCAGGTATTGTTTGAATGTGGGCTTGGCTGCTTAGTGGCACTATAGCCTTGGGGAGGTGGCTTCCCCTCTTGAGACCAAGCCTCTCTCGGGGTGGTTGTGAGACTCCTACGAAATCTCACTGGGAGCTGTGAGTCTTGGCTCCTGCTGTCTGTGACCAGCCCCTGCCAGAGGTGCCGTTCCTTGTATAAGGCCACACCTGGGGCTGCCCTAGCGGGCCCCTGCCTGAAACATCACCCACGACCCAGGGGAATCTGTGCACCTCCCAGTTGGTCAGTGGCTAGAACCATGGGGCAGCTCCTCTCTGCACCTGAACTTGCTGCCATGGGAATGGGCTGTTTTTTGTGCAAACACCTCAATGACTGAAACTCGACCCTGCCCTGGTACCAGGCCCTTTCTGACTTCACCAGTTGACTTGTCCCCCTTTCTACCAGGGGCTGGCTGGGCCATCACTTTTGAGGGGCCAACACGGGTGAAAGCAGGACAGCGCTGGCAGTTGACCTGCAGAGATCTTCAACCCAGAGAGACCCAGTTCCCTTCCAATCCACGGTGCGCGCCTCTCCCTCGTCAGCCTTCCTTCTGCAGCCCCGGGAAGCCCTCAGCAGGGCCGCCCAGAAGGAAACACTGATTAACATGTCTGTTTCCAATGCACTTAGAAGCCTATGGGTCCTTGACCACACAGCTGGTCTTCAGACTTCAAAGAGGCCTCGAAAACCACATCTTGATGAGTTTGATGTAAAATGAGTAAGACACTAGGGATTTAATTTCGCCTAAAAATTTCCCCTAAAAATGGCACCGCCTTAAAAATTAGCAGAATGAGTGGTCCTTGTCACCACCACCCCCAAGTTTGCATTTTAAAATGGGGAAGAAGGGGGCGCCTGGGTGGCTCAGTGGGTTAAAGCCTCTGCCTTCGGCTCAGGTCATGATCCCAGGGGCAGGGGCATCGGGATCTCTGCTCTGCAGGGAGCCTGCTTCCCCCTCTCTCTCTGCCTGCTTCTCTGCCTACTTGTGATCTCTGTCTGTCAAATAAATAAATAAAATCTAAAAAAATAAAAAATAAAATGGGGAAGAAGGGGCACCTGGGTGGCTCAGTGGGTTAAAGCCTCTGCCTTCAGCTCAGGTCATGGTCCCCAGGGTCCTGGGATCGAGTCCCGCATCAGCGGCTCTGCTCAGTGGGGAGCCTGCTTCCTCCTCTCTCTCTCTCTCTCTCTCTCTCTGCCTGCCTCTCTGCAAACTTGTGATCTCTGTCTGTCAAATAAATAAAATCTTTTTTAAAAAATAATAAAAATAAAATGGGGAAGAAGCTCATTAATTTAAGTGCTCTTTGGGCTTAGCACTCTGTCTGATGGAAGCCAGGTCTAGGAAAAGAATGGAATCTTTTCAAATCCCCATTAACTGGGAGGGGGAAGGGGTTTTGTAACCAGGGTATTCCACTAATGAAAACTCTCTCCCAGAAACACGTCTTGTTTAGCTCATTTTTTTTTCCCTCCTAACAATGGCAAATCATAACTCAAAGAGGGAGTAAAAATGTCACACGGCTCAAAGCAAGCCTGAATTCGAATTTTTCCCCTCCAGCTTTGTCCTAAGAATGCTGACCAAACACTTGGCGAAACAAAGGGATCCTTTTTGCTTTGTAACAAGGCTTTTGTCTGGGTCCCTGAGCCCACAGGGGACCAACTCTTATGCAAGGAATTTTGGGTGGCCCACCCCATACCCCTCCTCTCTCCCTCAAGAGTTCTCCAAAGCAGGCAGGCAGGAGGTGGGGGATTTATCCTCAATTATGGCCTGCATCCAAGGGTGTTTTGGATTTGCTTATCTCCCCAGGACAAAGCTCAAGGATGAAAGAATATTCGAGCCTTGTATTGCCAACATTATTCCCTTTGCCATAACCACCGCCTTCCCAAGGTGTCAGGATGCCTCTCCCAGGGCAAAGCTAATACTGAACCCTGGTGGGGGAAAGGGGATCTCTGAGAAAGAGGAAATCTCAGCAGAGGCACCACGCCCTGGAAATGCCAGGCTCGGGCCCAGCTCCAAGCAGCTGGCACCTGTACCAGCAGTGTTGCTGGGTATGTGAGAAATGCCCAGAAAGCAGCTAGCTGCAGGTTCAAGTCTAGATTCAGTCCCAGCCCTGCGGCTTACCGACTCAGACTCTGGCTGGCTCTTCATCTCCCCAAATGTCCCAGACTTCTTCATAGCACTCATTTTATACCAGTCTAGAGAGCCTTACACTTTCTTGTCTTGCAGACTGGAAGTCCCAGTCTGGAGCATTCTTCCTCCACTCTTTGGCTAACTCCTGTTCATAGTTCAGGTTTCAAAGGGCACCTCCTCCAGGAAGCTGCCTCTGTGTCTCAGTGCCCTCATCCATAAAATGGGAAAGTGGGAAACTTCCATTCTAAGATTAACATCTAGAAAGGTCTCCCAACACATTCATCCTCCAACTGGCTGCCCAAATCCCTCCCCACCCAGAGCTGCTAGAATAGGGACTGCCTACATGTTGGGGAGACTCCGTTCCCCAAGGCAAAGTAGAAAGGGTACCTCCATGAGGGGAAGGGAGCCTGTGGGGTGTCTATTAAGCATGGTGATTCAAAGCATGGGCCAGAGGGTTCAAATCCTGCCCTGCTATGAACTCCAGCAGATCATTTACCCTCAGACTCTCAGAGCCTCTGTTTTCTGTCCAATGAAATGGGGGTACTAGAACCTACCCTATGTGGTGTTCTGAGGGAACACTGTTCACTGTGTTCACTGACAAAATGAATGTAAAGAACATACCACAGTGTCTAGTACATGATAAGCTTTCATAGAATTACTACTGGTGAAAGGTGATTAAGAGGATTCTTCTATAGGGAGAGTTTAAATCTGGGGTGGGAGTGGGGGCTACTTTAAAGACACACATAACCACAAACAGAAGAAACACTTGGCCTGCAAACAGAGCCCAGTACTGGAAACTGGGTTGGGAGTGGATGGGGTGGGAGTGAATGGGGGGGCCAATGGCAGCACTAGGAGCAGGGTGGGTCCTTGGAGGCCTGGGGGAGTGGCCAGTAAGGTGGGAAGAAAGGTGAGTCAGGAGCACTAGGGAGAGACCCAGCTCACCTTCCAGCCTCCCCTGGTTTCCCCTTCAGTGACTCCTTCCCTTAGCAGAAGCCTAGGCCAGAGGCAGGCCTGGGGCTGCCCCCACACCTTCCCAGGGGTTGCAGGATGGATTTGAAGTGAATAAATCTGGAGTAAACCAAGTGTAATAACTAACACTAATGCTAGAGTCTTATGATTACCCTCATTTTTTTACAGGGGCATTTCCCAGGGCTCAGAGAGGTTAAGTGACTTGTACAATGTCACACAGTAATGGTCAAGGCTGTGTTAAAAGCCAGAAAGCCTGGGGCGCCTGGGTGGCTCGGTTGTTAAGTGTCTGCCTTCTGCTCAGGTCATGATCCAAGGGTCCTGGGATGGAGCCCTGCATCAGGCTGTCTGCTCAGAAGGGAACCCCCCCCCTCTGCCTACTTGTGATCTCTGTCAAATAAATAAATAAAAATCTTTTAAAAAATTAAAGAAAAAAAAAGCCAGAAAGCCTGAATTTAGGGAGGAGGGCATGAAGCTGTGCCCTGCACACAAGGGCCTCCCACAGGTGGGTGCTCGGAATCCAAAGGCGACTCTCCTTGTAAGCCAAACTTTGTTCCTGAGCCCGTTGGAAGTCAGTACTTTTGGGGCGCCTTTCTACACCCTTCCACCCCACTTCCCTCTTGGGAGTGCCTGTCCAGTCCTCAGTGTAACACCCGCCTCCTCCACCCCGTCTATTGACAGGCTGCTCCGCTGTCGTTCCCGTGATGACCGCCAGGGGTCGCCTTGGGCGCGCCAACGGTGGCACGGAAGAAAACCCTGCGGTCCAGAAGGCACTGGGTCGTCCAAGCCAGGAGGGAGCACACCCACCTCTGCGCTGCCCGGAGCTGGGGAGGTCTAGGTCAGGGAGACTTGCTTGATATTCCGGGGTCAGACCCTGCCCCACAAGCATCTGACACTAGGGTCCTGCCACCCCCGCCACCAAAGCTGCTCTGAATTTCCTCCATCTGTCCCTGAGGCAACAGAACAGACATGAAGTCTGCTGATTCATCCTTTCCTCGAGCACTTTTTCCGAGCACCAACTGTATGCCAGACAATCTCCCGGACATACTGGAAATGTGGAGTTGAGGAGGACAGGAGCCAGAACGCAACCTCCGTGAGGGAGGGACAGTTTGTCAGCACTGTTCACTTGCCGCTCCTGGCACACACATCCCCTCAGTACCCAAAGCGTGTTTGGTGCTTACAGGAGAGCCTGGATTAAAAAGGTGATTGCACAATTAATTGATGACTGTTCTGAGTGCTCCAGATGAGCTCCTACCATGCCTGGGCTGTTTTACTTACCAAGCTGGTTCTTAATCTTCCCAGTCGTCCCAAACATCATAACCCTCATCTTACAGTTGGGAAGACTGAAGCACAGAGGGCAGTCTAGACAGCCTTATGCTTTCTTGCCTTGGGAGTCCCAGTCTACAACATTCTTCCACTACTCTTTGCCTGGCTAACTCACGGTCGCAGTTCAGGGCTCACTCAAAGGGCATCTCCTCCAGGAAGCCTCCCCTGATCATCTCTCCAGTTCCCTGCTCCCCATCCACCTGATTATGAGTCTGTCTCCCCTCCTGGACTGTGAAACCCTGAAGGCAGGAAGTATGTAGACTCTGTTCCTCCTCATCTACCTTTAGTACCTGGCTCAGTGCCTGGCAACAGGGTCAAGAGTGAATGAACGTTTGTTGAATGAATAAATGAGAGCACATTAAGCAGATAGTGGAAAGGTGAATGGCTCCAGGGCATTATAGGTAACCTCCTTGTCACTGGTACTCAGGCGGCCCACACCTGCAGGGCCCTGATGGGAGAGGCAGAGGGTGTGAGGGTCCTGGAAGTTGATGCTATGGAGCTGCTGGGTGACTGGTGGGTCCTCCTCTGCTTGCCCCCGCTCCCACCACCCACTGTGTCTCTCAGATGATGTTGTCACATTCAATGGGAAAGTTCTGTATCTGTTACGTGGGGCAGGGTGTGAGGGGGGTTGATGTCCATCCCAGTGGAACCAAATGAACATTGCTGAGCCCCCATCACTCCATCTGGAAAAGGAATGGGAGAGAGCCTGTTAGTGAGTCACCGTGAGGATTCCACTGAGTGGGATCACTCGTTAAACCCTCCAGCCCAGGGCCTAGCACAGAGTAGCCCGGGTGTGCCCTGTGCTGGCACATAGTTCCTGCAAGCCTCCCTTTCCTCACCTGGAAAGGAGGTTAACGAGAGCCCCAGCAACCGAGGAGGGTGGTTTCAGGCAGAGGGAGCTCAGCACAGCAGCTGGCACTGAGCAGGGCCTTGTGAAACAGCGGCCGCCTCCATCCACGCCAGGCACTGTTCCAAGTTCTTCTACCCTGGCCTAATGTCATTCTCGCGAGTCCAGAAGTAATTCCCTCTGACATTCTGATGTTTCAGTGATGCCAGGTAAGCTCTCATGTGTCAGAGACGTGTCTGAGGAGTTGGGGTCCAGAGTTTCCATGGCAACCCCCCAGCCATGTGTCCAGAGCACCCTGAGAGTGGACCCTGGGCCTCCCTTGGGACCTCCCTGGGTGCCTGGTGCACAGTAGGTGTGCGTCAGGGTTTACCGAATGGACTAGAGGCTCGGGCACCCTGTGAGCCTCCCTGGGACCCTCTGGGTGTGGGGGGTAAAGGCTTGGGCCCCGAGTCCCTCTGGGGCAGAATACAGCCTCCTGCCAGGCACCCTGGGTGGGCTGTAGCCAGCCCTTGCTCCCTTTTCCAACCTGGTCTGTCCTGCTGCCTGCGTGTGGCCCCCTGAGCAGCCCAGCCCCTCCTCTCCAGCGGGGCCTTGGCAACCCAGCCCTCATTGGCTGCACGTATCCTTGGAGACGGTCCCCGCAGAGCAAACAGGCCACAGGGCTCCAGGCAGAATGGTTCCTCCCTCCGCACCCTGTCCCCTCCCACTGCCATGAGGGATCTCTGCACCACCCAGAGCCAAGCCTGCTGGCAAGAGCGCATCCAGAAGGAGACCACAGCCCGGGTCACCTGGAATATCAACTATGGCCACAAGTACCTGAAGGAGGGGCCCGTGCCCAGGAAGCGGCTACAGCGGGCCCCCCTCAGGTTAGCCTTGGGAGCAGGGCCCTTGCCTGCCACCAGTGCCCCTGAGAGCAAGGAAATACAGGATGGATGGTCAGAGACCAAGGGGGTCCAGGATCAACTGTCCAGGGGAGTGGGCGTCCACGGCCCCCCACCCAAGGGAGAGAAGGCCTGGGAGGCCCAAAGAGCCCCTCAGGGGCCCGCAGTCCATTCCAGGCCAGGGGGCTTAGAAATGATGCAGGTCCCCGCCAGCACCTTGCAGCTGCTCTTCCAAGGCATCTCCCACGATGGCCAAGGCCGGGCCTCGTACCTCCGTGAGCGGCATCGGCAGAAGCCAGAGGAGAAGTTTCTGTACCCGGTCTTGTCATCCTGGGAGTACGGCTGGCACATGGGTAAGGGCTGCCACCATCTTGCCACTCCAGGCGCAGGCCTGGCCCTCCCCTCCCCCACCCCAGCCCTGTCCTTAATCACCCTGCAGGCAACAGCCTACCCCTTGGGCTCACCCTTCTCAGAGCAGGCCCCACGCCTTCACACCTTCGGGCCTTCGCACATTTTCGTTGCTCCACCTGGAATGTACCTCCTGCCTCTTCCTCTGCTTGCTAACTTTCACATGTCACCTCCTCTGGGAAGCTCTCCGAAAGTCCTCCAGGTAGATTTGAGTCCACCCTAGTGCTTATCCAGCTTTCTGTGTCTACAGAAGCCCTGGGCCCCCTGTGTCACCATTCCTCAAGTATCCATCTGGTCTAATGAGCCCTTTGGGTTCCAGAAATACTTAGTTAATTTTATTAAGGCCCTCCCAGTCCCCAGCTTGGTACTCCGTGACCATGGAATGAATGAACAAATGAATGAAGGTAGACTAGGGAATGAGGCCTTGGTTTGGAATCAGGAAGTGCAAGTTCAAATCCTGGCTTCTCCCCTTGGGAGTTGTGTTGAGCTCAAGCAAGAACCTTAACATCACTGGGCCTCAGTTTCCACATCTGAAAAATGGGACTACACTAGTACCTGTCTTCCTGTGTCGCAGAGTTTTGGGGAAATCAAATGGGAAAGCACCCTGAACAGAAATTTTCCTCACAAAAGCCTCATGCGGTGGAGAGGACATTTATTCATTTGACATGCGATGCTTTCATTTGGGAAAGTCCAGTGAGGGAGATCTGGAGTCATTAAATCCCAGCTCTGCCCCAACATGAGTTAGCCAATGAACAACCATGGAAGAGGGACTCAGTTTGAAATTAGAGTGCCTGGGTTTGGATTCTGGTCTCTTGATTTATTCACTCACTCAACAAAGATTTAGTGAGCACCTGATTTACGTCAGAACCTTTGTGTCCCTGGGGATATGGCAGAGATTGTGAGTATTAAGCCTGTAGAAGGAGATCTGTCGGGAAAAGGAGAGGAAGATGCAGGGGCTCCTTGGTGGACAGGTGGTCAGGGAAGGCCTGCTGGGAGGGGACGCTGGAGCAGAAGCCTGAGGTGTTTCTACTTCATCCGATTTTTCTGAGGAGGGCCCGACTCCCTAGGCCCACAGAGTGAGTCTCGGTTCCTGCACTACACCCCCTTTCCTGCTCCCCCTCTCCTCCTCCTGCCTATGGGTCTATGTCTCTGCCCGTGAAACCACTGCCAGACGAAGGCCACCAGACAGAGCAAACTAAACTACAAGATGCCCAGTTACATTTGAGCTTCGGATAAACAATAATTTATTAGTCTAAGTATGTCCCAGATATGGCACGGAACATACTTAAAATGAAAAATTGCCGTTTATCTGAAATTCAGCCATAACTGGGCATCCTTTATTTCATCCAGTAATCCGAATACTGGAGCTGGGGGGAGCTGCTCCTGGATGCCTCCTGTGTCCTAGGGCAGTCCTAGGTTCAGGGCCAAGACTGAAGACTGTTTCCATCCATGGTGGTTCTGCTTAAGCTCCCGGTTGCTCCTGAAATCTCCTGAACATTCTGTAAGATTCTAGCCTCATGCCCCCTAACCTGACCAGTTCAGGGACTAAATGAGGAACAGATGAGAGACCTTCTGTGGACCATCTCTCCCCATCCCCCGACCCGGTTACAGACAGGAGCTGCATCATCCTGGGGGGTGGAGGGGAGAGTGGGGTGCGCTGCAAACAGCCATGGGGAAGTGGGGTCACAGGCATTGTCTGGGCCCCAGCTGGATTGTCCCCAAATGCCCTTTGACACATAGAAAGTACCAGTCTAGTGCTTGGCACATAGTAAGTGCTCAACAGATGGTAACTGGTATTATTATTATTATTATTATTATTAATTCAGCAGACAGGAGTTACTGTCTGTGGGCATCTGGGAGCTGGTTCAGCCTTGGCCAGGACCTTGGAGACTCTCACTAAGAAGCTCTGGGATGGAGGGGCTCTCACTAGACAAAAGGGAGAAATGGGATGAGGTTACCCCTTGTAGGTGTGGGGTAGGGATGGGAACAAAAGAGTCAACTGTTGGAATGACTTGAGTGCCTGCCACCCGTTGGGGCAGATTGTGGGCCCAAAGCCAATGCAGGGCCTTGAGGCCCCCATGCTACGTACGCCAGGTGTACCATGTAGTTACTGGATGCTAAGAAGGAACAGGGGAGTGAGGGAGGGATCAAGGGGCACAGGGGCAACCACTGCCCCCAACCGTTTAGAAGTACTTCAAGATTTTAACCAGAGCGATTGTAGCCGGTGTCCCTGCTGACCCTCGGCCCTCCCGGCTGGGGCAGGGCTGGCGGGAGGAACGTGGCCCCACCTCAACCAGGCCTTTGCTGTTTTCCAGGGGACATCATGAAGGACCCCAGGGCTCCAACGTATGCCAGGTGCCAGCCCATCTCAAAGACCTTTTACATCAAGAGTAGCGTCTTCCATTTTCCACGGCGAACAGACCAGCTAAGCTGAGCTCAAGGGGGGCTCAGAGGCTGCTCCTGCCTTCTCCTGCAGTCTGTCTGGACCCCGCTGCGCAAAGACGCTGCCGCTCCACCCACCTTCCCTCTGTTTGTCCGGCCCTGCCTCCTCTGTGGAGCATGAGGGGACATGAGTGCTTTTCTCTACCTCTGGGACTTAGGGTGGCCCACCTGCAGCCTCTTGGATGTCCTCAGGGACCTTAGCTCCTTGCACAGCCCTGCCCCCACCATCACCAGCCAAGTGTGGGATGCTCGCTGCCCTCCCAGTGTCCCAGCAGCAGAGCAGGGGGGCAGGGGAGGGGATCGCTAAGTGGAGGAGAGGAGTATCTCCCTGTCTTGACTCTCTCTATATTTTAGTGAAGGGACCCACAGCCGAATTGCTTGGTCCCAGTGTACCCCCCCAGTTCAAGGGGGAAGTGGTTTCCATGTTTACTTACTATTTCTCTCACTGTCCCCCACCTCCACCCCGAAGAACCTGCATGGGTCAGGTTTGCCTTGTTTTTGTAGCAAACAGCCACTACCTCCCAGTTGCTTTAACCAATAAAGGCGTACTTCGTGCAGCACGGTGCACTCTGGTGGCCAGTGCACCGCCTGCCACATGCCAACCTGGGGAGCCGAGCCACTCCCATCTGGTGGCTCTGCCATCTCCTAGGGCTTCAGGGTCCTTCCCCGAGTCTCTCTACATCCAACTGGGGACAAGGGAAGAGACAAGAGTCTGCAGAGAACACACCCACTCTTAACTGCCTTGGAAGGAAATTAACCAATGTCACCTCCCATCACGTTCTATTGGTGAGAACTCATTCCATGACTTCTAGGTGTGTGAAGGCTGGGAGAGTTGTGTCTCTCCTGGTCAGCCTCTCAGTACAACTTCACAGACGAGCTATGCCCCCTACAGCTGCGATTTGAGCTAATTGGCCTGGCTTTCCTTCATTGACTTCAGGAAAGTTCTGGAATGGGAAAGAGCAAGAGGCAGAGGGTGTGAGTGAGGGCCAAAGTGTGCGTGTGATTCAAATGGAATTCACACTATGGCCTTGCATGCACACCAGAGGTGCTTGGCAACAACCTGCTGAATGTACTCAAATACCAAAGAACACCCTGGATTCCTCCAGGGGCCATGTGATTGCAACAGCCGTGGATCTGACCGCTCCCGTGGGTCAGATCTGGTCTGGGCTCCTGTGAGATCAGGGACCACATCTTCTGGGAGTTCACAGTGCAGACTGAGAAGGGCTTGTGATGGGGGAAGGTGGGCACTTTGGGAGCACAGAGGAGACGCTGAAGTCGGCATGGGGTCTCGGGGAGGTCACTGTTATTTATGGCATTAAAGGAAATAACGCTCAGAAAATGCCTAGCAAGTGCCTGCCTATTGATGTGAATTACATTGATGATGACAGTGATCTCTGTCCACAGCAAGTCTGCAAGCTGCTTAGAAAAGGGCGAGCTACCACCAGAGCAGGCTTTCTCAGTCAGGAATTTGCAAAGAGATCAAGCCTTACCGAAAATGATTTAAGTGACAATTTTCTCAATTCTCTCAAGGAGGGGACTCTGAAGCTAGCATCGTTCTAGAGGCTCGGGAAAGAGATTCATTACAAACAGTGAATGTCCCAGAATGTTAGGGCTTACTTCTTCTGAGGAATTTATTTGTGTATGTATTTAACAAACTCCAATGTGGCATTTACCATGTACAGGCATTTTTCCAAGGCTGCACTGTGGCAATCAGTAGGCATAGGCCACACGGGTCCATTGATCCCTTGAAATGTGTTGTAAGTATAAAAGATACACGAAAACTTGAAGATTTAATATGATAAAAAGTATAAAATATCTAATGATTGTTATATTGAGTTACATGCTGAAAAGACAAGGTCTGTCGTTTCAGACTTGGATGCTGGATTAAACCAGGGATTGGCAGACTTTCTCTGGAAAGGACTAGTTGTATTTTCCACTTGGGAGCCATCCAGTCTCAACTCCACAGCTACTCAACTCTGCAGTTACAGGGTAAAGGCAGCCATAAATAATACATAACCAAATGGGTGTGGCTGTGTGCCCGTAAAGCTTTATTTAAAAAAATAGGCAGTGGCCTCCACTCGACCTACAGGTTGTCATTTGCTCACCCCTGGGTTAAATAAAATATACTATTCCAATTACGTTTACTTGTTTATTTATTTATTTATTTTTGCTTTTCTTAATGTGGCTAGTAGAAGATTTCAGATTACATTTGGCTCACATGTTATTCCTACTGAACAGGCTGATCTAAGTACTCTATGAATATTAACTCTAGGGATAACTGTTACCCTGAGGTGGGGGTGGGGGGTCGGGGAGTGTGTGAAATCTGCTGACAACCTAAGGAAAGAGCATGCATTGGCTCCTTCGCCTGGCTCCCCCACTGCCAAGGGTGGAGCACAAGGCCAGACTAGCTTGTGGCTGCTTCCTGGGACTATCCGAGTCTATACCCTCTCTGTAGGTTCATCCTTTGACTAAAGGGAAGTCCCCCAGCAAGACCACCAGGTGGTGCTGTCGGACCACAGAGCCTGGCAGTTGGCCTGCAGAGACCTGGGTTCTACGGCTGGGGTTGACCATTCATCTGCTGTGTGGCCTTGGACCTCAATTTTCTCACCTATAAAATGGAGTCAGACTGGCCTAGTGAAAACATGACCTTTTAAGATGGACTGACCTGATTTGAGCTTTGACTCCACCAGAGCCACAGGATGAATATCATGGTCCCCAGGCATTTTGCCTTTGTGCACCCCTTCTTCCATAGAAAAATATTAAAAGTTGTATTTAAACTCTGTTGGTATAAGCACAAATATCTTAATATTATATATTAAAATATTTTTCTTTAACCTAAAACTTCATCTTATTCCTTCTTATTCTGAAAGAAAACATTTCTGTGGCCCTTAAAACTATCATAAGCCCTAAGCCCAGAGGCTACAGGGCCTCTGGGAGAGTCACACGGGGCTCCACTGCTCACCAGCTGTGTGACCATGGGCAGGTTATTTAACCTCTCTGGGCCTCAGTTTCCTCATTTATGAAATGGAGATGACAACAGACCCCACATTTTTAGAGCCATAGTTGGAATTTAGTGAGAGAGTATATGCCATGACTATGAGTAGCAGCTATTATTTCTTCTTATTACTTATCATCTTTAAGGATATATTCAGCTCTAACCTCTATGAAACTACTAAAGTATCTCAAACAAGTAAGAATCTCAAAATACATCAAAAAAAATTTTTTTTGAAGCTTCCAGTCTCCTTGGTGGGGGAAGTAGAAAAGTTTCCCAGAGAAGAGTGTGTCAGCAGAAGTTTTTGCAAATGGCAAACACAGATTTTTTTTTTTTTCTCCTGCCATCAGGGAACTCATGAGGGAGGAACATGGGCTTGCACCGAACAGCTGGACACTGGGACCCTGGACAGTATGTTTTGTTTTTATTTTTGTTTTTTTTCCTCTCAACATTTTATTTTTTGTTTCTGGAATACAAATTAAAATACATTTTTGTTACATATCATGTTAGCGGGTTTGACATTTCTTCCCAATACAGGATAACTTAATACAGGTACTTTAAAACTTCTGTTTTAAAAATACATTTTATTTTGGAGGGAACAAGCTCATTAAAAAGATACATGAGTACACCGGCTCTTATTTTTGCATTATTTTAGTGTTTAGGAATTCTGAACTTGGATAGCATGCCCTCCAACTGAAAATCTGGTCCTTTAAAATACATACGTGTTCCATAACAAAAATAAAACTAGAGTGTACTGTTGAAAAAACAGAAATTTTTGGTATAGGCCTCTGAGTAAGCTTGAGAGAAAAGTCAGGATGTGTTTCAACTGGACAGTGGAACATTCAAGAACCTACCTAGAAACATGTGACAGAGCAAATGACTTGGTGCTATTGGAGTTGTTCTGCCTCAGAGGGGAGGGTGCTGAAGACTCATCACAGCCACAGAACCAACTAACTCAAAATTAACCCGAATTCGGTACGGAATAATGTACAATAAGAGTAGAACAATCCCAACAGTTATTCAATGCCAGGCAAGCTAGCTGTAAGCTTAGAACAAAGACCTCGGCAGGAACAATATTCAACATGTTTATAAGACTTTGAAGACGAAAACACTTCATCATTCATACTGTGGGCAGGTACTTGGGAAAGGTGTGTGTGTGTGTGTGTGTGTGTGTGTCTGCACGTGGCATTCATCTTAAAGAAAGGGAGATTTGCATGGAGTTTTGAAGGCTATGAAAGCCTCAAGCCTATGGAGACAGGAACATCATGTTTGCAGGGAAGAGGGGAGAAGATGGGAGGGGTGCTTTAGGCTAAGGGAATAGTATGTGAAAAATTCCGGGGGGTTAGGAGGGTGGAGGTCAAGTTCAAGGTGAGGTTTAGCTGAATTTTAGTTCTTGTATCCCTGGTGCCACCCCATTTTATATCCTTCAAATATTCTTTGAGAAACTTGAATACACTAGAAAGCACGTCAGTTTTCTTTGTATTGTTTTGGTTTGGGGATTTTAATTTAATTTATTTATTTGACAGAAAGAGAGAAAGAGAGAGAGCATGAGTCGGGGGCAGCAGGCTGGGGTAGAGGAAGAAACGGACTGTCCAATGAGCAGGGAGCCCAATGTAGGACTCAATCCCCGGGCCCTGAGATCATGACCCAAGCCGAAGGCAGACACTTAATGACTGAGCCACCCAAGTGTCCCAGCACTGCAATTTTTAAATCCCCAATTTGTACCAGCAGAAATCATTAACTTTGTAAGTTAGGTGTTTCCATCTGGAAGCATTTCTAAAAGAAAAATCACAACAATTCTACTACCCAATGTCTACTACTTCTCGCTCCAAAAAAAAAAAAAAAAAAAATTGCTTTAAAGGACCACTATGAAAAGGCTTTTACCTTCTTCTCCAAGATGGCACAGTAGTGCCCCGGTGTTTCATTAACTCCACAAAAACTGTGAGTAGTGACTACGAAGACACAGCTTTGCCATCATAGAGGCTGACGATTGGGAGTGGGGGCAGACACTGAACAACTAGCTGTACGGGTAATGAGGGTTAAGAAAGGGACATGAAGAGCACTGTGGGAAGATGCAGTGGAGGGTCCTAGAAAGACTGGGGGAAGCTAGTGAGAAAAGGCCTCCCTGACAGTGAGATTTAAGCTGAGTTTTGAGGAATGAGAAGAAATTAGCTAAGCGGATGGGGGTGATGGGGAAAAGGGGTGATGGGAGTAGGGGTGCCAGTGCAAAGCCCAGAAGCTGGGGAGAGCATGAAGAACGGAAGAACTACACGTTGTGGCTAGAATGTATAATGGTTGAAAGTGGAGTTGGAGAAGTGAAGGCCAAGAAATACAGGGCTTCGATGAAAAGGACTGGGGTCTTTACCCAGAAGAGAAATGGGGAGCCATTGAGGGTTTTAGCAGGGAGGCAACAGCAGGAGATTTGCATTTTAGTAAGTATACCCTGGTTGATGGGAGGAAACCAGATTGTAGGGGGCTAGGGTGGGAGTGGTGGGACCAGTGAGGGGGCCAAGGAT